ATGAGCCCAGGATTTGAACACACGCCTCACAGCCAAAACATTCAGAAGGAGGGAGGAAAGTGGGTGGAGACCAACAGAAAGGAAGATAGCCAGAAAAAGAGGGAGGGAGGTTTTATTCTAACATCATCTATAAAAAGTGAAATACTGAGACTTTGGGAAGTTGGAGAAAGGACCCGGCAGGCTCCCCTGAACTTGCCCACTCCTGAAGGGTGATGGGGCCAGTGGGCGGGAGGCTGCCCGGAACACCAACCCTCTCCTGGCCTGCTTCCCCACCTAGAACAGTGCTTTGGGCTTATGATCCCCAAGGCTGAGGACATCTGTGCCAACCACTGACCTTGAGGGTGTCCTCCCCTCTGAGGGCCCCATGTGCATACCTCCAGGACTTGCCATTTACCTGTCACCCAGCCCCCTCCCCTGCCCCTGCCCTACTCTTGGACTTGGCAATCAGAGCCCTGATGGGATGGCATGGGACCAGGCTTCAGTGACTGCACCTAGTGGGAGGCTGGGGTGGGGCAGGGAGAAGGGCACTGACCTCAGGTTGGTGCCCTTCTTCCTACAACCCTTTCCTAGGCTTACAGCAAGGTCACCCTGTGCTGTGGGGGGTGGGGAGGAAGCCAGTGCAGGTGAGGGCCTGATGCATGAGCATCATCTCTGATCATCCCTGAACATTTAGAGGGGGCGGTGGCTTATTCCAGATGGGGAACCTGAGGCTCAGGAGACTGTGAGATCTCCCAGCCGCATGGGGCTATGAGCGTAGCAGGTGAGCTCATTCAGTAGGACCCGTAGACGCAGCCAGTGCAGACCCAGGCATCAGGGGACCTGGGTGCAAATCGACTGTCTCCGACCTGCCGTCCGTGTGTCCTTGTGCAAACCACATCCTACCTGGCAGCCTCCACCTCAGTGTCTCCAGCCTTGGATAATTCCTTTGAGGAGCATCCAGGGCGGGATGGAAAGCCCCTTACAAACTGGAAAGCACTTGTCAAATGTAAGAAAAACCAGCCTCATCAAAAACAGAACCCACACATGTTGGATTTAAAAAGGAAATGTTTATTTTCATGTTATAAGGTGATTACAAACTCCTCTAAAAAAAAAGCAAAGATGAATTTAAAATATTGATATACATATTTATCTACAAAGCAAAAAAAGGAAAGGAAAAACCCTGCAAAATACAGGGATTCATATCAGAAACATTTAACACAAAAGCTTATATATTGCAAGACTGAATTACACACCAAGGAGATCTTATTCAAATACAAATGCTCCTCCTCAGATGAGTCTCTTGTTAGTTATTTTGTTTTTTTTTTTACAAAAGTTCAAAATATCTTAAAAATATTTTGAAGTTTAAAAAAAATGTCCTGATGAGCCAGACATATTTCCGGAAGGAGGCAAGACTCACGTTCTCGGCTTTCTCTTGTGCTAAATTCAGAGTCACAGTTGATAAGGATTTGAAAATTAATTGGATAAAAAAACCCATGGCGCTAACATCTCAGTTTGAAGCCAAGTGTGTCACAAGATGCTCCACCCCGGGGACCTTGTCAGAGGGGGTCTGTGGTGACACCCACAGGAGAACAATACAACAGCTTCCCACCAGAACTGGCTGCATTCGCAGAGGGAGGGCCCCGCGTTCCTCTCCAGTTTTGACCTCTGGGTTGTTTTGTGGCTTTGTGCTTGTTGCATTTTTGCACAGTGGTGTTTGCAGCAACCATGTGGATGGCCCAGCTTGGAGTTGCCTGACCTTGGGTCTGAGGGCTGGGTGGGGCCCTACAGCCGCCTAGAAGGGCTTTCTCTGAGTCCTTTCCTGGCCTGTGTCTGAGGTGTGGGGGGAGGAGGGAGGCATCTGCCTTCAGGACTGGCTGCCCAGAGCATTCCCCACCCAGAGGGGCAGCAGTGTTGAAATGTTGGCTGGGCCACTGGCCGCTGTGTGGTGGGACCTGGTGATATAAGAATGCCCCATGCTGGGCTGAGGGGGGGGGCTGGCTTTCCCCTTGTGCTTCACCGCTGTCTCTGGGGGTGTGCCGGGGGTCTGGGGGAGAGCAAGGGGCCAGGGGTGCAGAGAGGGAGCTGGTACTGCTCAGAAATCAGAATCTAAAGCCACTCCCCACTGTCTTATGTGGCCTCAGGCTGAATCCTGCCCAAGCGTTCTGCCTTTTGGACACTGACTGGCTTCTTTGGGCCTCAGTTTCCTTGTGTGCAATGGGAACCTCAATGCCTAGCTCACAAAGGACTGCTGGGTGCAGGGTCACGGTGGAGGTGAACAGGGGCTGCCTTTCCTTTTGGAGGCCTGAGTCACAGCTCGGGGACCAGTGGGCCCACGAATGGTCAGGGGGTGGCAGGTGCTACTCACCTCGTCCCCCAACGTTGGGGACAGAGCTTTTCTTTTTTTCCTAAAGGCTCCTCCTTGGTCTTTAGGGAGAACACCGGGGAGCTGCATTCACCACTTGCCACACACACGTGAGAGGACATACGGCCGGAACTGACCGCAGACAGTCTGGTTCCACTCCCGCTTGCTGTGCCAAAGACCCTCCCCGGCTCCAGGCCTCAATTTCCCCATTTTATGAGGGCGCTAAGTTGGGGGGCAGGGCTGGAAGCCTCTCCGTCACTGACCGTGCAACTCCACTGCAGGGACTGGCGGGGCCCGGGCCCTGCTCATGCAGCCTCTGCCTGGTGAGATTTGTCCGGGGGCCCTGCCCCGTTCCTGCATCCCGATCACGTTCTCTAAACACCCTCCCTCACGTCCCTTCCAAGTTTGGCTGGCTGGACTCTGCGTGGGCATCGGAATTTCTGACCCATCCAGGCAGAGAGTGGGCAGAGGACAGCCCCTTCTCCAAGACAGGCGGACCAGAGTCACTGGCGCCAGTGACAGTTTTCTTTATGTGGAGACATAGAGACACATTGTACTCACAGAGCCAAGTTCTGCGGATACACCAGCGCCAGGGGAGTAGACACGAGGGTTACAGTTGGAGACAGGGACCTGGGAGACTGGCGAGGAGTGGGCTTGGGGACAGTGGCTGACCTTCCGACCAGGTGGGACCTGGGGACTTGGTCTGCATGTGTCTTTGGTCTAGAATTTGGTCTGGGAATCTTATAAGAGGCCTTCCTCGGGTCACGTCCAGAATGTTGCGATTTGCCTGCCACCCTGTGACCTTTCCCTGGGGGTCTGAGCCCCAGAGGGGAGATGCATGTAGCCTGAAATGACCCCAGATGCCCAGGCAGCCACAGCCTGCCGAGCCCCTCGCTCCCGCACGTCGCCTGTCCCCAGTCACTGACAGTGGTTAGTGACCTGCATACAATTCCGTAGGACGGAGGGGAAGGGGTCACATTGCTATTCGATAAAATTAGGGGGGGAAACAAACAATGAAATCCAATCAGACACAGCGGCAACCATAAATACATAGAAAAACAGGAACACATTAGAACTGTGAACGGTTTGGAATAGGCGTTGTTTGGCAGAGTGTACGCTTTGGAAAGAGAGAAATGTGAAAGTTTACCAAAGACAAGACGTTTCGAAGGTTCAGAGTTGCCTCTGCCCCTTGGGAGGAGGACCCCAAAGGCTCCCCCCTCTCCCAGATTTGGGGAGGGGGGTTCCAGGTTTCAGAGCCCCTGCTCTGAAAGCCTGAGGTGGACTTCATTTCCACCCACCTGCCCTGCAGGCAGTCACTGCCCTTTGTGACGTTTCGGTTTAGAGTTTGAACTTGGAAGTGACTTTAAATGGCACAGTTTAGGTCCAAATAGGGCCAGGGTGGAGGTGTGTCCACACTCGGGATGTTAACGGTAGAGTACCTTCGCTTCTGGCTCAGAAAGGACTCTGCACTTGGCTGAGCCAGTTCCGGGGTGCCAGCCCCATGAACCCCAGCTTCCTAAAAACACACTCCCTCACTGCCTCCCCTCGGTCCCCACACGGTGCGTGTCTGACACCAGCTCTCACAGGGGCTGTGTAATGCAGACTTCTCCTGTCTCCCAGGGTCTACAGAGAGTTGGGCTTGTGACTGAGCTGGGAGGGAGGTGGGGGGAGCACTTCACTGGGCTCAAATGTCCAGTGAACCTCCACAGACACTCCTGGTGCTCCCTGCGTGGAGCCCTCCCGGCCCTGGGCTGGGATCTTCGACAAGAGCTTGTGGGAGTTTCCCGGCCTCTGGGAGATGAGGGTGGAGAAATGAGGGGGAGAAAAGCACCCCTCCCCAACACCGGGCCGAGCCCCAGGGCCCACATCCTTTGGTCCACTCGCTCACCCCTTGTCCCTCACCAGATACACACTGCTTCCCTCCTACAGGCAGCTTCGAGGGGGGAAGGGGAGTGACCGGAACCTGACAGCACCCCACTGAGATGCGACAGACCCAGCCTGTGGGGTCGGGCCCTGAGCCTGCAGGCTCCGGCTGGGCCAGCCTCGGTCTCCACCTGGGCTGCCACGGGAAGGATGCTGGCCCAGCGGTCAGGGTCAGCCCCGTGAGTGTTCTCCTGAACGCTGAGCCCCAGCCTCACCGCCCAGCGCAGATGGCTGGTTCTGACAGTCCCTCCGACTATCCACCACGGACCTCTCAATAAAAGCTGGGGTTTTGTTCCTGGTGCAACGGTTTCTACCACTTAGAACCAGATCTTCGCTGCGGGGCCTCACCTGTCAGGGTTAAGTCAGTGCCTTTGTTTGAGGGGTGGGCCGGTTAGTTTGGTGCCTCCCTTCCCGGCTACCGCGAGTGCAGAGGCGCCTCCTCGCAACCCCCTTTCTCCAGCCCCCACGGGTGGGGCCCGCTCCCTGCTGGATGCTTCTGCTTGAACCAGACTGGGGAGGTACTACACCTTTAAAATGGGTCTGCTGTCCCAGGAAAATTCCACCCTGTGTTTTTTGGGGCAGAACTTTCTGCCAGCTACATAAGCACCGAAGAATTGCTTTTGAAAATGAGATCTATTGCTGGCAAGAAGATCAATTCAAGTGGTAAAAGTGTATGACAATCTCTAAGTGTATATATAATTATATGTAAAAAAAAATACAAAGAAAAATTTACCAGTTCCCATAAAATACATCTAATTCAGTATGAAAGCTCTGCCTTGCCCCGGACTTCTGCCCATGGGGCTTTTTTTTTTGTACAAAATAGCCCCAAATCAAAACAAAATACACATACACACGACACCACACACGCGTGTGCACACACACAGTAATATTTTCTGTGACAATTAAAAAAAATCCTAGTGCAAATATAAAGCTCTGTAAACCTGGTCCTATGAGAATCTAATGTTAGTAAACAGCAGGAAAGCGGCCCGCCGCCCGGGGGCGCTCACATCATGGTCTCCACCACGATGTGCGTCGGCTTCATGAGTGCGCCGTTCATGGTCGAGCGGGAACTGTAGGGCGTGGCCCCCTCCCGCTCCACGGCCCAGTGATTGGGTTCCCTCGGGGTCAGCAGGTACTTGAGTCTCTGGAGAAGGAAGGGGACAGGAGCAGGCGGCACGTCAGGCAGTCAGGTTCCCTTTCACCTTGGCCGTCTGCCCTCTCTGGGCCAGTGCACGGTCTGGCTTTTCGAAAACCACTATCCTCTCGGGGACCTCCCACCTCCTCCACTGGCAAATCCAGAGGTTGAACTAAGGTGCTCTAGGGTCCCTTGGTCCTCCCAGCTGGGGCCCGCTCGTGGAATCTGTGAGGACAAGCCAATGGCAGAGCGGGGACACAAACTCAGGGCTCCCACCTCCCCGCTTGCCTCTGTCCAGTGTCCACTCAGGAACTTAAATAGAAAGAAGTTATGAAGTTCTCTATCTAGACATTTGGTTTCAGTATATTAGAAATTTTCAGAGCTGCTTATTAAAAGCTATATTTCATTTGAAAATCCAGATTTCCATCTTCTCTTTAAAAATCGCAAGATCTAGCCATGGCAGGCCCCATGTCCCCTTGGTAACTACAGGATAGAGCTGACTGCATCACCCCCGGGCCTGCTGCTGGGGCTTCCCCCATTTCGGTTGCCTGCCTGGTCCCTGGAGGGCCAGCTGGAGACCCCAGGTAGAGGGCGAGGGTGGGGTGCCAGCAGGAAGGTCATCCCGCACCCCTCTCATCGCTCCGCCTGTCCGTACATCTGTACGATGGGGTGTGCACACAGCAGGCGGACAGGAGGCAAACGCCCCGAACAGCCCCCTGGGGGCCGTTTAAATGCAGGGTAAGTTGCCACTGGACTCCTCCGGGACAGAGACCCAGGTCTGTAGAACCTGCTCTAAGAGATGCTCATGGCTGGGAGGCCACCTAGGCGACCGTGCAGGGGGGCTCCAGGGGCCACACAGCGGAGACAGATGGCTGCCTTCCAAGGAGGGCCTTGGGGTTAAGGAAGGGGTGCAGCTTTAGGGTGGAGTGGCTCCTCCCCTGCCCCCTCCTCTTCCCCTACACCAGGCCCACTCTGACCAAACCTCTGACCTGGAGCTGGAATAATGTTTTAAAATTAAGCTTTGAAGGAACACACAAGTGAGTGACCTGTTGGGCGTCCTGGTGTCCAGCCCCAGGGTTGAACTATGTAATTGCTGTGGGCACTGGCCAATCAGAACAGATATCCAATGGCTTGGCTATGTATCCAATTAACCCTTTAGTTTCTGGATGGTAGGAACATTCTGGAAACTCCTGGGGAGGGACTGGGTTCACACAGGGTATATGTAGGGGGGGGCGCCCTGAGAGACCCAGGGCAGTGGCTATCTCCTGTATGTCCCCAGGCTCAGTATTTAAATATTTTAACAGATGGTAGGACCAGGCAGCATTCTGGCTAAATACCGGGGCCCTCCCCTGAGTCCTCTGAGGAAACACAGGAGCCCAGTGCAGCAGCAGCACTCTGGGGCTCAGACCGAGCTTCGTGACTGCCCCCCGGCACACCTCTGCCTACTTCCTCTGTCGAGGGAAGGCTGGTGCCTTTCTGCCTGGCCTCTCCTCTCCCCCACCACCACCACCTCCGGGCCGTTCCCTTGCCCACAAGGAAACCCACCCAGCCCAAGGGAGAGCTGGGGCCCCAGGACATCCTGGCTCCAGATTTTTAAGAGAATAACAATAAAAAACAGCTCAGAACAAAACAGTGCAATCTTGGAGTCCACCCAAGCCCAAAGGTTAAGCGAGATTCTAAGAAAAGGATTTCTTGGAAAGAGCCCCGGTCTGGCTGGCCTGGAATCTGCAGCATTGTCTGAGGAATTTCTGAGAGGAGGTGGGCAGTGGGCGGGAGGCCTCGGGGGAGGGGACTGGCAGGCAAGGAGGCCTGGAAGCTGGAGGTTCTGTCCAGCACAGAGGTGGCCTCTGAGGGTGGGTCAGCAGACAGGACCACGGACTGGGGAGGGGGCAGCAGCGGGGGCGGGGCGGGGGGCCTCATCTGCAGTTTGGCTCCAGGGTCAGGGAAGGCCTCGGGGTGGGGCTTGGGCGTCCTCCCTGGCTCCCTGGCTCCCGTCTCAGAGACAGCAGCCCCTCTGTTCCCAAGGCAGAGCCCTAGCTCTTTGCTGGGCCTCCAAACCTGCCGTCACCTCTCCCTCACCCCCCTTCCCCCGAAGGTGTCACTGCTGCCTGAGTGTTGTCACACCTCCTGCAGCACACCCCACGCCTTCTCTCTCCAGTTCTCTGCCTGGCAGACTCCTCCTCCTGCCACAGCCCCGAGTCGCCCCAGGGCCTTCCCCAGCCTGAGCCTGCTGCTGGGCTCCCAGTTTCCCAAGACGCTCTCCCGCCCACAGTCTCCACCATTCCTGGTGCTGGGAGGGGTGTAGGGCTCAGACCACTCAGTAAACTGACGGCCAGCTGGCCTTCGGCTTCCCCTCCACCCCTCGAATCCAGCCTGGGCCCCAAGTGCTCACCACGAGGAACGGCCCTTCCGTCTGGCAGAGGCGGATGACCACAACCAAGGGGACGCACACCATGGAGGACAGAGCCAGGCTCCAGCCCAGCCCGATGGCCCAGGTCGGGTACACATACACTTTATTGTAGGTCAGGGGCACGTACTTGACGAGAGAAAAGATGAAACATCCCTGTGGAGAGATGGGGGCAGTCAGGGGGGTCCTGGGCGTTGGGCTAGGTGGATTCTGGGGCCAGGGCAGGCCCTACCCAAGGGGCTCCGCGCCCTTCTCCGCTCTGCAGCTCAAGGACCTCCCCCAGTGCAAACATCACCAAGCCAGTTCTCTGCTCAAAACCCTCTGTGGCTCCCAGGTGCCTTCAGGATGCAGGCCAAGCTCTCAGCCTGGCCTGAGTGTCACTATGAGCTGTGCCCCTCCGTCCTCATCCACCCACTCCTCTGTGCTCCCGCTGCCCTGAATCCCTTCCAGCTCCTCAGCCACCTGCCCAGGGCCTTCGACCAGGATATTCCCTCGGACTGAACCTCTTTTCCCCTAACCTGCACCCCCTTCCTAAGTTAGCTCTAATGGTCCTGTCTCACTTGCCCAGGCCCTGCCCAGATGTTCCTTCCCAGACTGCTGGTGGTTACAATGACTTCTTTAGCACGGGCTGCACCCACCCCGCCTGAGTCAGGGAGGGCAGGAGGCATGCATCTTGTTCCCAGCACATGGTGCAGTTTCCAGGTGCACAATAAATGCTAGCTCCCCTCTCCACCCATTTCCATCTCTGGGCCCCAGGCCCAGCCTCCCAGGATAAGGCGTGGACCTGAGCCTTGCCCTATTGGGTATCCACTGCCCAGTCTTGAGGCCACGAAAATGGCCAACGGCCATCAGTGCCCACTAACAGTGGGGTGGGACAAGGCAGGGTCAGCTCTGGGCCCCCGAGCCTGTGCAAAGGACCCCTTTCCCTCGTGTGGCTGGGCTGGGAGGCCCAGGGCTCCTGCTCTGATCAGAATGACGACATCTCAGAGCACAACCTAGGCTGTCGAGGATGACCCACAACGTGAAGACACCATCCTCATGGTGGGCACCTGCTGTCTGCCCAGCCCCGCTGTCGTTTCTGTCCTTGTGTGGGGGCTGCTGCTTAGATGGGAGAGTGCCAGGAAGTGGCGGCTCTGTGCTCTCCCGACATGAGGAAGCTTTATAGCTGCCCGTCACATTCTTCTTTCTACCAGGGTGACTTCATCCTACTACCCCGAGGTGCAGCCCATCTCTGATCTGTGTACCTCCTCAGGGAAGGAGGGAGGGAGGAAGAGGCCGACGGTCAGAGTGGTGAGAGGAGACGCCCACAAACACACACCAGTAAGAACAAGAGCTTGGCCTCTGAACCTAATACGATCTCTCTCTAAAAAATCCTGGCCAGTTGCTGGGATTCCTGGCTGCTACAGTTTACCTATTTTTATGGGTAAAATAAGCACCTCAGTTGGAAAGGCCACAATTAAATTAAATAACAGCAGTGACAACCTACGGTTGTCAGCTGCCACTCACATTCCATGTCAGAGTCTCCTCATGTTACCACTGGGGGGATGAGGCCCCCTAAAGTTACTCAGTGAGTTGACGGCAATGTGGACTTCTTCTGTCCAACAGCAGAGGTCACTCAGGGGAAGGCCCATGTATTTATTCCTCAGCCCCTGGTCCCTGAATGCAAGTGGCATGTGCCTCCCACGGTGGAAGCTGAGACGGCAGAGCAGGCATCTTCCCCTGCTGTCAGCTCAAAGCTCACGACTGGTTTCAAACACTGATGGGAAAGCAGCTTTCACTACAGAGGACTTCCCTGTGGCTGCAGCCTCCAAGCGGGGGCTGGAAGCAGGCAGGGTGCCCGGCACACTCCAAGGCCGCTTTCCAAGGTGGCAGTTGGGGTGTCCCTGGTAGGAAAGGGAGTGTGGCACCTCACTGCCCTTCCATCTGGGGCTGGTACGCAGCTTTCTTGTTCTTGGGAGAGCCCAGAGCACCTCTCTGCTGGGAAGTCCCCTCTCTAGTTAGAACCACCCCCCCGCCCCCGCCCCAGCCCCACCATGGAAGTGACACATTTCCAACTACTGTGACCTCTCCTTTGGACATCCCAATGGCTCCTTCACTTAATCAGTGAGGGGACGTGGGCTCCTGGGCTCTGGAAGAGTTTGGGGGAAAGTTACATGCTCTATCGTGGATCCCCCTCATTTCCCAACAGCCCCTGATACGCTTTCCTCTTTGCACCGCTACCCACAGCCAGGCGAGAGAAAACTCACAATACAGAGAACTGGAGTGACCACAGCCCAGCTGTACTTCATCCACGGCCCGGGCCGATAGCCGATCATGTCCTCAATACCATCATACAAGTTATCGCTGCCTGCAAGAGACAGAGGCAGGCAGACGGTGACACGGTGTCCGATGCCAGCGTCCGCCCCGGGAACAGCGGGGCGAGCGCTCAAGAGCCATGAGGGAGCTCTGGGGCCTGACCCCCGTCCCTGCATCTGACAACACACAGACCCAGGTGTGGCAGGCGTTTATCTAAAATAAAAAGTAATGGGCGTCCTGTACTTTTTCGGCCACCCTTAGGCACGCCCTGTCCAAAACCTGGTGTGACCAGCCCAAGGTCTCAGGGAGGCCTAAACGCTCTGTTCCTGGACCCCAGAGCAGCGTAGCACAGGGAGACCCTGCACAGCCAAGTTACGTGTTTGTCAAAACACACGGTCACACCTCGCACGTTCAGCACAGGGAGAACCTGCAGTGCGGCCACAACCATGTGATTTGTGCAGGGAGGGGGCTGCCTTCCGCCGGGAAGTCCAGGTAGGGAAGGCCTTTGTGTTCGACTCAATCAATTCCTCTTAGAATTCTGTTTCTGAAACTTCTAAATAGGCCCAGAGGAGAGACTTGAGACAGGACACGCAAAACTCGGTACTCACCATATATCCAGGCAACAACAAAACATTCAAAGAATGCAACCCACAAAAGGCATACACCGCTAGCTGCATAGTAGTCAAAGAGTTGAAACACATACATGCCACCCTGTGGAGAAAAACACAAAGATGTCCGATGTGTTATTTGGTATCTAATTCCCTTCATATATAAAGAGCTCTGGCATATCCATAAAAAATATAAAACCCAAAAGAAAAATTGGCAAAGGCTATGACAACCCGACACCTCTGTAAAAAGACGCCCCGCTTCGTGTCTGACTCATTCCACACCCACACGGAGAAAACAAGGAAAGGCGAGCAGTGCGTCATCCTCAGCACAAAACCCCACGCTCACTCAGGCCTGCTCCCAAAGCAGGCTCTTAACACCCGCTGCGGCCAACACGGAAGATTTCAGCAACAACCAGCAGTTTAGTGTGTGGGCCTGCGATGTGCCTTTTGTGGAGGGAGGCTTCTTACAGACACGTCCAGAAAAAACATCTATGTTTTACTTGCAGTAAGGAAAGTGGTGGTGGAAAACCCCAGACCGAGTCTGGGAACTGATGCGACCTGTGCTGCAGAATGTGGGAGGCGGGTGGGGACAGGTGGGGAGAGCCTGCCCTGGGCCTGCGCAGGGCCCACAGGCCCACGCTGGTTAGCACGAGGGTCTGTTCTTCTCTGGCCCACCTCTCGCTAGACTGGCTGGTCCACTGCTGCCTCAGACACTCCTGCTCCTTTCCTCCTGTGCTTCTTTGTCCTACTTCAAATGGACCCTCCTCCGGCCCTGCCCACTCTCTGACCAAGGCACACTCCAGGTCTCCACACTGCCTAAAGTCTTTACCCTCGAGAACCACCTCCCCTCCAGGCCTGTGAAGGGCGGCTACACAGTCATGGAGGAACAGAGCTGTCCTTAACATGGATTTTAGGTGGAGCACCCCTCCCCCAGGCCTCCCAGGATAAGGGAAAGAGAGAGCAGCAGTGTTGCCATAGTAACAGGAAAAGGTGGGGGAAAGTGTGGTCATCTGCTGAGTTCCTTTCCACAGTGTAGGCCGAGTGCCCTTGGGCAGGGCAGGACCCCTGCATTGGGTGGGTTCAGGACACCACCCACCCAGGTCCTCTCACCCAGCTGCTGAGGGGAACAAGAAGGCAGTATGATCTTGAACTGCACTGAGACACATATCAGGGGCACCAAGAGCCCCGCAAAGGGGAGGCCCCTCGTGCCTGTAAGAGAGCCACCTACCTCCGTCACCATCGTCAGCCCCAGCAGGTAGCTAATGCTACATATCAAGGCGATGAAGATTTCCCGACGGAAACCCTTCCTTAGGAAGGATGGGTAGAGGTCAACCAAGGACGTGATCTGTCCTTCGACTTCAACAAACTTGGGGGGAAAAGAGAGCGGTGTGAGTGGCAGGTGCCCAGCACCTCCCCTCTGTTTAGAGAGAGGAGCCTGGCTCATGCAGTCAGCTTTCGGGGTCAAGTCCAAATGCATGGACCTGGTCTTTCGGGCCCGGCCTGCTGGTCAGGCCGGTGGCCCACACACAGCTCTTCCCACATCTCGCAGCTCGCACCTCTGCTGAGCCCCATCCTGCCACCAGAATGCCTTTCCCCCATCACTCAAGACCCAGCTCAAGGGTGACCGCCTCCCTGGAGCCAATGCTGACCTCTGCCCTGGCATGTGTTTTAGCACATGTGTGTTGACAAGACAAACTCCTCCCACTTTGGCCTTGGTCCTCTCTGAACCCAAGAGTGACGTCCCCTCATTGCAAGGTCACAAGTGTCCAGCTGCGCTGGGCACATGTAGCTGCTCCACAGACACGTGATGAACAGGTGGAAACCCAAGGCAAGTCTGGGCCTCGGTCTCCCCATCAGATTCATGGGGTGGTTCAAACTCTTTGGGGCTCGTAGGCCCACAAGAGCATGTTGCAGGTGTGCATGCATGCACACCTACATGCCTACGTGTGTAAGCTCACTGAAGCCAGGACTCCAAGGCTCACGGACTCTGGGAAGCCACCCCTGGGCCCCTAAACATGAGGTGATGTTCTAGCATGACTCCCAGTCTTTCTAAATCTTCCCATCGGCACACCTAATAGCTGAGCTTAGAGACTTCCCTATCATGACACAGAGCGCTGCCTCGTTCTTCAAAGGGCAGCGTAAACCTCCACCCTGTGGACACGTGTCCCAGACCTAACCAGGGCCCCGCAGACGACTCCAGCCTCTGCAGCTGACCCGGCGAGGACACTTCCCCGCCACTGTCTCTAGGCCCCCATGCATGACGCTGGACCTCAGGCTACCAGGCCCCACGGACTCACTTCACACTCAGATGGCCACAGACAAACTGCCCTGCTGACCCACACACCCTCTTAGGCCCATCTCACTCCTTTAAAAATCGGAAAGCTAACCCCCCACCCTTCTGCTCTGTTCTTTCATCCGGGAGCAGCTTTTGGGAAGGAATCTCTCCACAGCATTCCTACAAAAAAGACAAGCCCAACCACTCACTCCTCCGGGATGCATCCTGGGAGGATCAAACCAGGCACAGATCCTTTCGTGCATGCACTCAGAGCAGCAGGAGAAATGACTCTTTGTTGCCAGGGCTTCAGGGCAAAGGTGACCGAGAGGCTCTTGAAAAGTGCCCAAATACAAGGGACTGAGGTTCTGACCTCTAACTGAAGTGTCAAGTGAAAAGGGTTTTGAACCTAAATTGCCACTGAATTATAGCTAACCTGCAGCTCAAGTGTCAAGCTTCAAAGGGAGTTTAAAAACAAAGGTTCGTTCTTGTTTGGAGATAGGGAAATCACAGACAGGAAGACCCAGTGTCACTGCGGGTCAGGGCCCAGGCCTGCACGAGGCCCTCGCTGCCAAGGCCTGCATCTCCAGAGAACGCCGCCCCCTCACCCCCACACCACCAGCCCCTTCAGACCTGCCCCTCTGAACAGCAGTCGTGGGACCCTGACTTCCCAAGCCTCAGTTTCTCCCCCTGTAAAATGGGAGGGCTTTGCTGACTCAGCAGATATGCTGAGACAGATGTGAAATCATATGAGGCAGGTTAGCAGGAAGCTAGGGAAATTCTTTGGCAAGTGGAATGGGGAAACTGAGACAGACAGCTGAACAGACTGGCTGAGTAACTTACAGCCAGATATAGGTCACCAGGGCAGAAAGCCCCAGGTGCCTGGCAATGGGAAAAGCTGGTGCCTGACCTTACCCTCACGGTGGCCTTCCCTCCCCTGGCATATTGATGCTCATGACACTTAGACCCCCTGCCCTGGTGCTGACCAAGCAGTGGAAACCACGACCCTAAAAGGGCACACCTGGGAAAGCTGATGAGTATTCTATTGAGATCCTCCCCTACACTCCCAGTCCTTAAAACCCTCTAGAGACAAGGATCCAGGGTACGCTCCTTCTGGAGAGCACTCCTGACTGTGCCCCCCCTTCTCCTCCCCTCACATCCGTGCATCTCCTGCACTCTAAGGGTCCCCAAGAGATTTGCAGCTCGAGGAGCAATGGGCAGCAGCAGCTTGTCTCAGACTTCCCCCCTGAACTTGTCTCCAAGGCCCCCTTTTCCTGACTTCTCCGAGCCGAAGCAACCCCACCTAGTCCCTCTCCTGTTGCTTCTTCTACTCTAAGCCCTTCCTGTTCCACTGTCCCCAGCTTTCACAAACCTAATCTCAAAATCACCCGGACTTGTGTTGTGAAATCTTTCCTGCATGAAGTCAAGGCCGGCCCGAGGCAGACCCACTCTGGGCCTGATTCCCTTTCCAGTAATAATTAGAATGAACTGGCAACTGGGTGACTAAGCTTAACCCGTGTCAGAGGGCTGAGATGGGTGAGCTCCTGAGAGAGGAGCTGCAGCTCAGCTCTGTCCTTGTCACATTCATTCACAGGCTGTGTCCCCTCAGGCAGACCGGACCACTACCAGCATCTGCCTCTGGGTGAGGGACATCCCTACTCCGTCTCACCAAGAAATGCTCAACAGTGTGATGGCTCCTGAGAGAGTGCCCCCACCCCTATTTCTAGCATATTTCAATACCAGAAATTTTGGGAGAATGTTTTCTATAATGAGCAAGGGTCAAGCTCCTGCATAAGTGAGAGACCGCACCTAAGGTCAACTGTGGGTCTCTGCACCTCCAACAGGGGAGAGCTATTTGGGGGTAACTCAGAGTGGGGACAAGAGAGATAAACTAGCAGGTCTGGGAATAGCTAGCCCCAGGGTCAAGCCTTGGCCTCATTCCTCCACCAGCTATGCGGGCCTCAGCCAGGGGTGTCCTCATCTCCCTAAACCTCAGGTTTTCAGGCATTGGGGCACTGTGCAGATTAAGGAGCTCATGCAGAAAAAAGCCGGCCTGGGGTGGGGGGTGGGGCCAGTGTTTAGTGGGCACAGAGTTTCAGTGTGGGGAGATGAAAGGTTCTGGGACACAGACGGTGGTGACGGCTGCACGGCCAGGCCAGGCCAGGCCAGCGTACCGAATCCCACCAAACCGCACCCCGAGACACGGGGAAGATGGCCATCTCACGTTCTGAGTGCGACACCACGCACACACGCACAGAAAGCCAGGCGCGAAGCCGGGCCCAGGTGCACACCTCGTCCGGCAGCACCTGACCTGTCACGGTGCTGGCGGGGTGTGTGGCGGTCACCAGCACTGGCAAAACCTTCCCCGTGTCCCCAGGCTCGCAGAGCACATGGCGCAGAGGGAGCCCAGCCTGCGCCGCCGAACCGGACACCAGGCCCCGCCCGGCTCACTAGGCACCAGCCCACCACGTCCCTTGTCGGTAAAACAGGCCACGCTCTGGAGAGGGAAGAGGACCTTCCCTCTGAGGCTGGCTGTGAGCTCACTGGGGTTCCCTAGGGCCTTGGTCTCTGTGGGGCTGAGCTCGGAGGTGCATGGCCTCGCCGGGAGAAAATCTAATGGATAAAACCACCAACGCTCACTCAGGAAGCAGAATTCCACAGACTAAGGGGCCTGTTGTGGGCCCACGAACACATCAGATTTCATCATGGATTAACCTCTCTCTGTTTTTGTTTTTCACTTTCACTTAGCAGTCTGGAAGAAGTTATAAAAGCCATGTGCTTGGGGCCTCCGAAGGCCAAACTCATTAAGGAGGAATGATTAATGGAGTCCTCCTGCTGTTTACACAGCTCCAGCCCCTCAACAACTGCGAGAGTATTTTGTTTTCAATCCCCCAAATATTTTCATCATCTTCTCTGCTAATCACGCTCCCCTTTCAGACAAACCCTTTGCTCTGTTCTTGACCTTGCTCTTGGACCACCTCCTCTGCTCTGCGTGCCCATCTAAGACTTTGGTTCTGAGTTCCTGTGACCCGCCCTGGGCACTGGCTTTGTGGCTGCTGCCCTGAGGGCAGGCGGCAAAGCCCTCCCCTGAACTGGCTGCAGGCCCCTCCTTTCACTGGGTTTCTGATGACCAATGACTTCTGTGAGTCAGCCAGACCCCCAGACCACACATGAGGCTGCAAGACGCCTGCTTTCAGTGACCAACCTCAGACGCCAGCTCTGGTGACAGACACCACACACACGGCTCTCACGAGCCCTGGGAGCAGGACCACCTGCCTTGCCCACCGCAACTCCCCACTTCCGGGGTCACGCCTGTGCTGGGAACTGTCGTCTTGAGAAGACCCAGTGAAAATATACCTATCTCCAGGGACAGGTGACCAGAGGTCACAGCTGCTCTATAGCAGGCATTGTACCTGGTGCTTCATGGAAGGCAATGGAGACACAATCATACTTATTTACCAGATGAGGAAACTGAGGCTCAGAGGGGGAAGAAACATGCCCAATGTCACACAGAGGCTTAGAAGTGTGTTACTCAAAGGCAGGTGCAGCCCTAATTGGCTCTCACTGAGTACCAGGTAGAGGCCTGCACCCTGGAGGGGATGGGACGAGGGTGTTAAGAGGTGGAGCCCCGCCCCAGGAGGGCAGAAGCCAGGATGGCCAGAGGCCGGGTGGGGTTGAGGGAGGCTCCCCAGTGCTGGGCTGTTCAGGAAGCAGTACAAGATGAGGGTTCCACTGTGGGGACAAGAATTCCAGCCGCTGTGCTCTAATTAGCACAGAAGAGTGTGGTTCAGGTTTTTCTGGCCCCATTTAGGACTCTTGGTACTGGGACCACCTTGTGCCGTAAGCAGAGATGTTGGTCCCTTCCCCTCATGGCCCACGTGCTGGTGTCACTCCTGGGCCCCTGCCCAGCTGCTCCCCGGGAGCCCGGCGTTTCTGTTTCAGCCTTGCCCTTCTACTTCCCGCCTGCGGCTCTGTTTTAACCAGCCCTCGGTTGTCCTTCCCCTTGCTGAGGTCAAAGACTTGTGCTGTGGGGGCATGTCACGCTCCCGCTGCCCCAGGCCTTTCCCACTCCTGGCGTCCCAGAGGGGCCCTCGCTCACTGTAAGCTTCAGCTGTTGCAAGCTCGGTGTGAGGACGGGGAGGGCGTAGCCACCTCGCACACAGCACAGACAAGGAGGCTTTCCCAGAACCAGGTTCCCCGTGGCCAGTCCCACCCTGTGGCCAGCCCCTCCATCTGTACATACCTGGCTATCCAGTCCAAGCAAGAGAAGCATAATAAAAAACAGAATGGACCAAAATGTGGGCAGTGGCATCATTGTCACAGCTTTTGGGTAGGCAATGAAGGCCAGGCCGGGACCTAAAGGGAAGAGAAGACGGGGAGGGACAGAGCGGGGAGACACGTCAGAGGCCGAGGACCGAGCTCCGACCTCACACAAAGACGCCGGGGTCTAGGGAGGGTCCCCCGAACCCAAAGTGCAGGGAGGAGCCGGGCCGCAATTCGGCCTGGGAAAAGAGACCAGGCCTGTCTCACTTTTGGGTGGGACGCACGGGGGCGCAGGTGGGGCCCCGTTTTAGCATCTGTCTCCTAAGCAGCAGCTCAAGCGGCCTCCTCACACACGGAATCCGGATGGCCCCGGGTTATCTGGGGTGGGCAGTGGGCCTTCTGAGCCTGGACTCAGTCTGCTGGCTTGGAAAGGAGCATCCCCACCTCCAAGCGGAGCAGCCGCACCAGCGCCGACATTTGTTGGAGGGAAGCTGGGGGAGCGCCCTGGTGAGCTGACTACTAAATCCCTGTTTCCACTAAAACGCTGCCTAAGTGGAAGGAAAATAGAGCACCTGCCCCACACAGCCAACATCTCTTCCCGGTGCCTCTGCACACCCACCAAGGCCACGTCACAGCCGGGGCGGAAGCTGAGGGGGGAGTGTGGGGGGCGAGCTGCCAGGCCCAGGGACCCGTGGCCTGCAATCAACTGCTCCTCCCACTGCCCCCCTCCACTCTTCACATCACCACGTGCCCGCTCAGGGCCTCAGTTTCCCCACCTGAGAAGTGAGGGGCAGGTCACCATAAACGACTCCCAAGGAACCTTCTCGTGTTCAGATCCTTAGATGCTGACACCATGTCCCTAGAAAAGGGCTTCTGGTTTCTAAGGAGGGGACTCTGGCAGAGTCTGGCGGCAGGGCTTGGGAGACAGGAGCCCCATCAGCTCAGGGGGTGCCTTTCTGACTAGAACCATTCTAAGGACATGGAGAAATGTCTCCCTCTGCCTTCAGCCAACCTAGGAGATGACACCAGGGGAGGAGCTGAGCTGTGACTGAGACCTGTGGGTCCAAGGGGCAGGAGGCCTAAAAGGCCTGAGCTGAAAAAATAAAATCCAAAACTAAAAACAAACAAACAAAAAGAACAAGAAATGTGAAACAAAAAAGGACTAGAGGCAGGATACTTAAAGCAGGTATCTGAAGCAAATGAATGGTGTAGGAATGGGGGAAAAGGACTTTGACATAAATTGGAGCCAGAAACCACACCGCACGGCTTTACACACAAACATGGTGGTCAAGGGTGAGTCCTCTAACGATCCGGAGTCCACTGGGTCTGAGGAGACCTGACCGTGACCGACCGTCCTCGGGCGGCTAGAGAACGAGCACCTGAGCCGCAAGTGGGAGGGGTGGGACTAACCCCAAAGCGAAAGTTGGACCAGGAAACTACGCCGCTACCTGGGCTGCGCCCCCATCCCCCAACATGTCAGCTCTGCGTGAGGAGTCCAGTCCAGCCGACTTCGAGACAGATGTAAAATGGGGCCCCCACCCCTCTGGGGGCTGTGAAGGTTCTCAACGCACTCGTTTCTGTATTTCAGTTTTGCCTTTCGCAAGCGAGCCTCTGGGAGAGGGTCCGAGCACCTCCATCTAAAAGTGCACAGTGAACGCGAGAGAGCACCCCCGTGAAGCAGCACGGCTGCGCCGAGCGCTCGGCACGCCCGTCGGCAGAGGACGCGCCTCTCCGCGTCTCATTTGCACTCCATTCAGCTAAGTAATGATCTCGTTCAAACGCACTCGACTCAATCTGGTGCTTGTTAAAAGCTTATTAGAGAAATAATCACCCTTGATGTGTCGGCTGTTCAGACATCACCGTGGGGAATACATGCCAAGGTCTTTGAAGTGGACGGGAGGGAGAGAACCACTGAGGCTGACGATGTACACATGCATGTGAAAATGCCCAGCTGTCCACAGAGTGCTGTCTTACATGTGGGTGCACATCTCCCACCACCAAGTTCGCTCCATGCTCCTGGTGATTCCCAGTCAATCAATCAGAACCCGTTTGCAAGCCCTCGACTGAAAAAAGCCTTCTGCGAAGGAGGCGTATTACTGTCTCCCTTCACCACTCTGCCAAATCACAAGTGGCTGTGGGTGTTTCTGGAATTACTTTCTGTGTCCTCAGTCTCAGGCCTGCCTTCGGGGGCTTCTCGGGGCAGGAAGGCTAGGTCCAGAGGTCTGACTCGGAAGCAGGGTCAGTGGAGAAACGCATGGGGCCGAGGGTGGACCTGCCACGTTGTCCTGCACACAAGGGTGGGGCCTGGCAGCGTCTCTGCCAGTGAGGACGAGAGCAGAGCCCAGGGGCTCAGAACACTTCGGGGGAGCCCCGATGTGTTCTCACATGTATCCAGGGTCAGGGCGGAGGCAGGTGTGGGGACACCCTCATGGCAGAGGGGCCCTACCCTAGAGACCCCCGCTCTGACCCTGACCACCCAAGACTCTCAGGCCAGTGGTCTCATCTGTGGAGCAGACATCTGAATACACAATGCCGAGGCACCCCGACCCCCAACTCCAGGGTCCTATGGGCAAGGGTAACACCTGGGCAGGACCCCAGCTGAACCTGTCCCTGGTCTGTGGTAGTCTCTGGAGTAAGGACCTTACATCACACTAACGTAAGGGCAGAGCAGAAGGGGGTGTGTAAAATAACACAACTTCCAGGCAACTGAAGGCCACCTTCAGGTGAATTGGGCAGGGCTGGGAAAGGGCACAGAAGCCAGAAAGGTGGACTAAGAGGATCCTGGGAGCCTAAGGTTCTCATTCCCACATCTAAGCCACTGCCGTCTTAAAGCTGCAAGTCCAGGACTTGGCGCATCATGGCAAGTCCTAGAATTTAGGCACTTGAGATACTGTGGCTCTGAGGCTCTGGAGTTCTAGCAGCTGAAGACCTTGTGGTTCCCAGATTCTGGAACTATCCTGCTGCAGCTCCAGGATCCAGACTAAGATCCCAGGCTTTGCAGAGCCTGTGATTCCAAGAGTATTTCCTTCATTTCCACATGTCCAGGGGAGGAGCATACAGCCAATAGGGCCCACACCCTGGGAGGGTGACAGTGTCTCCTCAACCCACCCCCAAATCAGATCTGTCCCTGTCCCAGAGGGCGGCCTGCCATGCCCAATGTCTCCCCCACCCCAGGCCTACGGTGGTGCCTGACACAGAGCAGAGACTCGATAAATCCATAAACATCAGTGGAACAAATGAATGGGCTTGTTTAGAGGGAGCGCGCTGGGAGCAAAGTGCAAAATACAGAAACCAAAGCTGAGAAGGTGGTGATGGAACGCCGATTGGTGGCTGGCTTGGGCCTGAGTTAGGAGAGTGGTTTCTGTTGTAGAAACCAGGAGTTTGCCTGGGGAGGAGGGGGAGAGGGAAAGACCACACAAAAGTAGCTAAATATTCCCCGACTTAACCAAACCCATGTTTCTGCCGCCCCTTGGGCCAAATTGCAATGAAAGTATTTAAAATTTAGCTTTTGTACTCTTTGGTACTTATGGGACATCTTGGTGGGGGGGGTCCATCTTGGAAACCAGGCTCGTCCCCCCCCCTCCAAAGCCCCTGGGGTCTGGCTTCATGCCTGCAGTACTCATCTTACACACTAGGTGGCAGTGCCCACCACCACTGCCACCAATACCACCATACCTGACTCAGCCACATCAGCAATGTCCACCCCTTGCTCTTGTGCCATGAAGCCCAGGATGGAAAAAATTGCGAAGCCAGACACAAAACTGGTACCACTGTTCAGGCATCCCAGCAGCATACAGTCCCTAAGTTACACATATGTCAGGGAGCAAGTTAATTCACAACACAAGGAAGCCACGCTCCCTACTTCTTCTCTTTTTTCTTTAAACATCATCATCATTTCTAAGGTCCACCAGGCCCGCCGGCACATCACTTGCCTGTATGAGTTGTACTTGTACTTGTTGTAGCTCCCCAGCGAGGTCATGGCCCCCAGGCAGATGGCGTAGGAGAAGAATATCTGGGTCCCAGCATCGATCCACACCTGTGGGGAGGTGGGGGAGTGGGGGGCGGCAAGGAGAGAGAGAAGGGGCTGTTAGAGCTGGCCTCTTGGAGGGGGCAGCGTGGATCCCTGGCCACGGGACCATTGAGGACTGCCCCTCAAAATGCGCAGATTCTCCATTGCAACTGGAGCGTCTGTGCTGAAATCCAAATGCCTTTCAAGACAACACTGAGCTGCAGGGAACCCCCCAAGTTGAAGAAACCCCAGTCACTCAGCATCCGAGTTAAGAGGCTGGGCTTTCAAGGTGGATGGATCTAGATTCCAACCATGGAATCAACGTGGGCAAGTCAATATGACCCCCGAAGCCTCTGTGAAGTGGGCTCCACAGCCCTGCCCCACAGAGCTATTTTGCCTGTTTAGAGGATAAAGACCTAGCCCAGTGCCAGTGGCAGCCCGTGAAGTCAAGGCTGCTGTCTCTACTGTAATTGCTCTTGTCTGGGGACCCTAAGTTGGATAGGAGAGGAATCCCCCAGTGGTTGATGCAGGCAAAGCTGCTCTCCAGAACCCTCCCTAGGCAGGCCTCCTCATGGCTACAAAGCTGCCTTCCACGCCATCCTCTGATGCTAGCAGCCAAGCCCCGTCCCACCCACTGCCTGCCCAGAGGGAGAAGAGAGAGGGGAAGAGACCCAAAGTAGCAACCTGAAGGTTGGGCATCCTGGAGACAAAAAGATCCTTAAACAGGCCCATAAAATCTCCCAGGCTTTTCTCCAACCCCCTGTGGTCACATGGCCAAGTGCCAGGAGGTGGGCGTTCAGTACTGATCCCTCCACTTTCCAAGGTCACTAACTCTGAATTCCATCCTTGGCCAAGGAAGCCAGCAGCTCTCTCAGCTGGTGCAGGCAGGGGCCAGGTCCAAGGAGAAACTCACTCAGAAAGACTTCTCTCTCTTCCCTGGCCTAGCGCCTGAAGAAGACTCTATAATTGGCCTGCCTCAGGAGTCCTCCACATGAAGAGATACACACACAGCTAGCTGGAAAAGCCCACAGCACTGTGAATGATCCGCCACCGCCCCATGGAAAACTACCAGGGGGTGATGGCACCCAAGAACGAGGCCCTGGGTAGGAGGGGGGACAAGCTGCCCCAAAGTACCTGTGGGTCCTCGAGGCGACTGATGTCCGGGTACAGATAGAACTTGATGCCTGCCCCTGCACCGGGGAGCGTCAGTCCCCGAACCAGCAGCACCAGGAGCATTGCGAATGGGAAAGTGGCCGTGAAGTAGACAACCTGTGAGGGACAACAGGGATTCAGGGAGGCCTGTGGTGCCACCTGCTGCTGTTAAATCAGAGAGTCTTTCCTGAGGCAGGGTTCTGTGGCTAAGTTTGCCATTTCACTTGCTGTGTGACCTTGGGCATGTTGCTTAGCCTCTCTGGGCCATGGTTGTCTCACCTATATAAGTATGAGATAGGTTATAAGTACCTACCTCATAGATTCACTAAGATTCAATGAAAAAAAAGTCCTATAAATATTTACATTTAGAAATACAGTGGTGGACAAGACAGAAAACAAATCTCTGCTCTCATAGAACTACCATTCTAGGGGGTAGAGATGGAAAATGCAAAATAAGAAAGTAAACTATCAAAAAAAAGACAATAAACTATCGAGTGTGTGTGTGAATGAGGCTCAGCCCAGCAGCTGGCACACGGCACGCAGCTCACGTGAGCTAACATGACAACCACTAGTACGGCTCACAGTCCAGAGTCAGTAAGCACGGCTTCAAACCCCAGCTCTCCCCCTCACTTGCAGGGTGACCTCAGGCATCAGGTTTAACCTCTTGGGGCCTGTTGCCTCATGTGTCAAATGAAGACAGGAGAAAGAGAAAGTCGTCGTCAAGCGGTGAGACCAGGATTCCACGGGGTGGCGTCTCTAACGTGACTGGGAGAGGCCTGAGGCTGTGGTGCTCAAGGAGCGGGGCCCTCTGTGGACACTGCAAGTTTGCAGGAAGCACAGGGGAACCTCTGGGAAGGCAATGCGGCCTCCAAAGCCCCTCGGCCAGGGTGGGGAAGGCCCTCCACCTCCTCGGAGCTATGGGAGGCCCACAGCCTCCCCTGGGTCACGCAGCACACCCCAGACAGGCCGAGGTCAGTGCAAGGTGTGGATGAAAGATAACCCAGGCTGGGCCTTTCTGTCCCCAAGGGCCTGCCCTGCTTTCTCCCCTCCTCCTATCCCGAAAGCACTGGTCTCCAAACATCTTGTGGCCTCAGTTCTCGGGGATGGATTTCCCCATCATTTTCATCCTGAGGAGAAGATTCCAGGCAAGGCTTATGCCTGCAAGTAGCTCAAAGGCATGTGGCTGAATGGATGTGAAACTCTGAGACTTCCAGCAGGGTACCGGCTGAGCTGCGACTCTGCAGGCACAAGGCCACGTCATGTCCCCGTGCCCACCTCAAACTGATACGCTGGCCGCCTGCTGACCAGGGGAGTGGAGGCTCAGCAGGGCTCAGACTAGCCCAGGTTATCTGCAGGGTGCAGAATCCGCTCCCAGAGCCACAGCCCCCTCTGAGGGCCTTATGGGCCGAGAAACTAGGGAGGAACCGCCACACAGCCAACACACCCACTTCATGGGTAGGCAAACTAAGGCTGCGAGCAGCACAGACATGCCGTGGTGTTGGGGGGAGGAGGCAGTGCCAGGGTGCCGCAGAGCACTGCTTGGGTGCAGGAGGGTGACAGACACTGACAGAGGGTGACAGAGCTCGCCTGGATGGCACAGGAACCCTCGGTGAGGCAGAATTCTTGGGCAGCCACCATCTCTTTGTGTGGAAACAGGCGGGAAGGGGCTTTGGGAAAGGGCAAACAGGACGCTCTCAGGGCCTACCTGACTCAGCTGCCCTCTGTCAATACCGCCAGCCAGCATGTATTGAGCGCTTACTGTGTGCCCGGCACTATTGCAAGTGCGGTAACTTCTAAATGCAGTCGGACCTGTCCTCCCTCACAGTGGGAGGTTTTATCACTACCTGCGTGTCAGAAGCCAGGAAACAGGCCCAGGGAGCCCGTTGCTTGCCTCTGTGGGTCCCACACGCTGGAGTGGCAGAGTGGGACGCGCCCCAGGGCCTGCCTCCAGACCACAACGTGAGCAGTAAGTCCTTCCGAGTCTGGCAGGTCAGTCAATCCCCCACAAGGCCGGAGGGAGGCCAGGGTCCCCCAAGGGTCGGGACCGGCTTACTGAGAGACCTTGAGCAAGTTACTGCCCCTCTCTAGGCTCCCTTTCCCCAGCTGTGAAGAGGGGTGTGCTCAGACAAGGGGAGCTCTGAGGCTCCCCTGCCACTGGGGTGGGGGAAGTGGCTGAGAGTCAGCTTGGGGCACCCAGACTGGGTGTGTACTGGCTTCTGCCACTTCCCAGCTGGGCAGAGGGAAATCCGCATGCTTACCTCGCTCCTGCTTGGCACGCAGTGAGCCCTCAAGAAACATGGGCAAGGAGGAAGTATTCCCGATGGCCCCGTGAGACAGGTGGGCCCTACTCCTGCCTCTGCTGCACTCTCCTTGGACGCCCTTTCTCCTCTGGGCCTCAGTTTCCCTAGCCACCCTACTTCCTTTCCTGGGGCCGGGAGCCCTCACTATTTCCCCGAGGACGAGAAGGCAGGTGTGGAGGGTGGGAGTGGGGCAGGAAGCCCCAGAAGGGGTGAAAGAAGAAAACCAGCGGCCGCTCCTCCCTTCCTGCGGACAGGCCCCCGACCAGTCTCCACCCTGGGCCTCGGCTGCCACACCCGGGCTGGCGGACAATAGCTGCTGACAGCAGGCCGTCCCCAGAGGGCGGCTACTTCAAAGCCAGCTGGGCTCCGCTGGGCTGGACGACCGAATGGTGGCCAGAGGGCTTTGTGTCAGGGCCACAGGACACCACCAGGGGAAGGGGGTGGCTTCCCTTGTTTTTCTGTATTTAATCTGTTTAACAAGCACTTATATGGTGCTTACTGAGTGCCAGGCACTCCGCTAAGAGCTGACGCATGCTAACTCAGTTAATCCTCACCACAAAAAGGGGTGCTGGGGTCACCGAGCTCCAAGGTGGCAGAGGTGGAACTGGATCTGGGCCAGCGAGGTGCAGGGTCCCGTGTCTTGTGTCTGTCACTGTGCTCCTCCCCCAAAGCCAGAATGGACACAGCCTCACCTTGGCCGCCTCCTTGTAAAGCCACCCTTGTTTTGCACAATCTACCACTCTGAGGACAAGCCCCTGAGAGCCGTTCTCTCAACTTTTCCGTGACTCCTCCGGGATCCTTGTGGGAGTGGCTGGTGCCAGCCGCCGCCAGTGGGCCTCTGGCGGTGGCCCAGCAGGCCTTGCCATGGGACATGGTAGTTTTCCATTCTTGCTGGCAAACCTCTGTGGCTCCTCCGAGTCCTTGACCCAAATGCCCTGTGGCCCAATGGCCCTGGAAACTTGCGAGGGCAACTCTTCCTCATTCTCTAGTGACAGTGGGGAGAGGGTGGCCTTCGAGGCAGGAGAGAGATGGTCCAGTCTCCTGCTGCCCTGAGCTTCCTCTGGGGGGGAGGTCTAGGCAGGTGGGGCTGTGGGTCGGAGTCCAGTGCTTCAGCGGGCCCTGAGGGTCCTCAGAGCACCCCTGTGTGAAGAGAGGGGGGGTGGCACTGCTAAGTCATTTCACACAAGGGGGAAATGAGGCTCAGGGAGGGAAAGGGGTTTGCCCACAGTTATGTAGCTTGTGGGGACAGCGCTGAGGCCCCAAACCAGGTCCAGCTCTGACTGCCACCACTGCCCTGGAGGCACAGCCTCAGAACACGCGTGAGCTAGGGCCCTCCACTGGGTCCGCGGGACTGTGCTTCCTGTGTGAGGGTCTGGACTTCATCACCTCCCTGAACCATGATGACTACGAACCTGGCCTGCGGCTAGGGCTGGAAGCCAGGGCCGGTGGCGGGTGGGTGGTTGGGTGGCCAGCAGGCCGTGGAGCTTGAGTCTAACTGTGCCTTTGTCTTGGCCTCCTCTGTGGGCTGGCCCGGACCCTGCTATTGTTCTGGGAACCACGCCCGCCCCTCAGGGGCCTGGAGCTGCCAGAGGAGGTTGTCTCCCGGGGCAGGCAAGGAGACCTTTAACAGGTCACGTCTTCAACTGGCCACACGCACAGCCTAGAATTACTTTTTTCCTTGACTCAACTCTTCTGCCCTTTCCATTGTGTCTCAACTGTTGCCCCCTGTTCCTGGGAGACGCTGGCCTCCTCCGTCAGGCTGGGGGCTCCCGAAGGGCCTGGTCAGGCGCACCCCAGGGCCTCTGCACCAGCTGTCAGTCCCCCCTCCTCCAGGTGTCCCCAGGCTCCCCCTCACCTCTTCACCCCTTCGCTGAAGTCCCCTTCTCGGGGAGCCCTACCTGGCCACCCTGTTCACCACGGCACCCGACACTCCCTGTTTTCTCTCGTGCATTGTTCTCCCCCCAGGTCTTCTTGTCGCCGTCTCACTCCACCCACAGACGGCCACACAGAAGTAGGTTTACAGTTGTTCATACAGAAAATACAGTTGTTAACAGATAACAATACCACACTAAACTCTGTATTTTGCATACGCACAACCATAAACCTACTTTTGCCCCAGCCAATATTTTACATATCGTTACAGCCAAAGAATCTGTCAGTGCTGGACCACAGGGCGTTTGTCTGTGTGTCGAGCCCTGCACACGCCTGGCCCCTTCGGACAGCAGCGTCCAGCAGGTGCAGAGGCTCAGCGCCGGTGAGAGCTACGGAATGGCCGCGTCCCTGGCACTGCTCGGGACCAGCGCTCGGAGACTTCCTGACAGGCTCACCTCTACGTGGGGAAATGGAGGCAGGGTAAGGAAGGCACTGGCGTTTTAACCCTCCTTGCCACCCACTTTCTAGGAGACGAACTGAGGCTCAAGGCAAGGGCGCTACCCTGGACAAGACACCTCGCCTCTCAGGCCCAGTCTCCTCATCGTTTGAAGAGAGGCGGTGACGAAACGGGATAACACGGGTGGGCGAGCACCCGGGAGCCCATCCTGGGGGACCATGTTGGCTAGGGGGGTGCCACCTGGAGACTCCTGAAGCCTGGCCTGCTTCCTTTCCACACTGGGTTTTGGGATCACAGACAGGGTGGTTCTGCCCTGAGAAGCAGGCAGAGAGCGTGGGAGATGCAGGCCCCCCTCCAAAAGCAATCCCGTTCCGCCTCTGCGACCACTGGGGCCCAGGCCTCGCCCAGCTGGAATCTGCTCAGATCCACGCCTTTGCCCACGGGCTCTTCAGCCCTAGAGAACACGGTCCTCAACTCCAGATTCTGGCGCAGCCACGGCCCCTTCTTCAGCGGATGTCTCTACTGCCCACCGCTGCACCTCAAATACCACTTTAACATGCTTTTTTACCGTTAGGGGCTTTTTGATCTTAGAGATTCCCCCCCCCCATCAAGAAGCAACTGACAGGGGGAAATGAAAAGCAGATCAGGCCGACCCCTCAACTACTGGCTGCGTGCCGTGGGTGCAGGCTCACACCTCCGGCCACAGACCACGGTGCTTGACTCTGCCATCACGGTGGCTGTGACACCAGTCCGTGGCGTGGTTAGCAGGCAAGTGTTCGGCTCTGTTAACACAGAACATTGTAGTTACAGGCTGACATTGCCACTATGGCCAATACCTATCAGCGGATACCTGAAATCTGAACTAAAGGCTGGCATTGTAAGGATCCGCCGCTGCCTGTGTTAATGGCTTACATCCTCGTAGTCACCATGTAACACATTAATCAGCAGCGCGTGTTTCAGTCACGGCCAACGTCTTGGTTAACAACTAACATCTTGGTTGTGAGTGAGGCACTTAATCACCAGTGACGGTTTTCCTTAATAAGGAACATCTTAGTTACCAGCTACACCATTACGGGCATGATGATTTAGTTAATTTGACTTTGCAGCAAACATCCAAGTCAGCGCTTCTCAAACCTCAGTGTAAGTCTAGATTATCCTGGGCTCCTATTCAAAGGCAGATTCTCACTGTCCAAGGCAGGCCCTTGGGGTCTGCGTGTCTAACAAGCCCCCAGGGGTCAGGGGGCCCGTCAGGGACCCACGGGGAGAAGCAAGGGTCCATGCTTTTCCAGGAAGAGCTGCTAATTAACAGAATTGCAGAAAACCTCATTTCCAGCTAACTTATCTGTTACCACCTCAACATTAGGTATCTGCTAACGGCTGCTCTCCGGCCGAAACCAGAGCCTGTGCAGGCCGCAGAGGGAGCCGGCTGCTCCGTTTTCAGGAATTTTGCACGTTGGTCGTTAAACCATTGATCACCTGAAACCAGACGTGGTGGGAGTCTTTCTATCCTGAAACGAGGCCACCCTTCACACCAGGCCTTTACTTGCATTTCGGGGACCGGTTTATAAGCCCACACCCCGTCCCAGGTGAGGGCGGGTGTTGGGCCGGCGGCCCGCGGGGCCGGGGGTGCTCTCCGGCCAGGGCCCTTCTCCACGAGGCAGGGGAGGGACAGAAGCACAACTCACTTTCCCTGTGGACTTGACGCCCTTCCAGATGCAGAAGAAACAGACCAACCAGACGAAAAGGAGGCAGAGAGCGAGGTCCCACTTCAGCGAGCCGGGGCTGTTGATCCCAGAAGACAAGCTCAGCACGTTGCGCCTGGAAGCAAACAGAGCCGCGAGTCAGGCAGGCCATGCTCTGGGCAGGCCGGGGTTCAGATCCCAGGTCGCGTGCTGCGTGCGCACAGGTCGCCCGTCCCCTCCAAGTCCCGGAATTCCCCAAGGGTCTCGGGAAACAGTTACCACTGCCCTCATCCCAGAGCTGCTGAGGGAGTCATCCAGGGGATGAGTTCCAACTCCTGCGTCGGGTGAACCTGGGTTCAACCCGGCCTGGCCTTGGGCAAGTTAAGTAAACCCCCAAGCCTCAGTCTCCTCATCTGTAAAATGAGAACCATGTCACCCATTCTCAGCAGACCCGGCTCCACTGTGGAGTCTCGGACTTGGTGCCACTTCCCCAGTCTCCCAGACCCCGCCCTCACCTCTAACACGGAACAGCCACCATCCCCTCGCATGCTGCCCCACGCCTCCTTTATCCCATTCACCTGCTTTGTCTCTGGATCTCTCACTAAAATGAAAGCCTCAGGGGGGACAGAGTATTCCACCTGTGGCTGTAGAACACCACCCCCCCACCTCCTCACAGGGATTCTGTGAAGAGAAAACTCACACAAGGCGCTAACTACAGGGCCAGGGGCTGCAGCCGGCCACGGAGGAACCTAGTGGCTCTAACGGTCATGAGGCCGAGAGGCCTGGAGCAGCTGCTGGCACCTACGCAGTGCTGGCTGAACCTTCCCCTTCCAGGGTTGTGAAGACAGGAGACAGGTAGACATTTGAAGGACAATCAGCCCGGGCAGCCACCAGCCCCGCCCAGCACCGCCCGTCACCGCCTGGGTCTCTGCGGCCAAGAACCTTGCTAACACGCACAAGCACCTGCTCAGACACAGCCCACGGGGCAGATGCCATCTGAGGCCAGGTCAGGGCAGCACGGGGTGCTGATGGCTGAGCGGACCATGCACCCTGGTGCCCAGAAACGTCCCCACTGCCCCAGAGCTCTGATGGCCGCAGCACTGACCTAGGGCAGCCATGCCGAGCAAAGGGACATTGGCCCCTGATGTCACCAGTCCCCCAAGTCTCTAGGCCACACACCATGGGAGGCAGAGCACTCACGCTCCCCTGGCAGACGCTGGGTTCCCTCTAACGAAAGTCAGCTCCCTCTTTGAAGCAGGACAGATGGAGAGAGTTATGTGACTTTCTGCCTCAGTTTCCTCATCTGTAAAACACGAATGGCTCCCGCCCAGGATGCTGCAGGGAAAGCCTTCCAGACCACCCCCAGCTCTCGGCCAGCGGGGGGCGCTGCCCATGGTCAGGACTCTGGGACATGTTTTCATCACTTCTTTTCCTTTCCTCCAGAGAAGCTTCAACACGAGGACCTTGAACAAATTCAAAATTCCCACTCGACTGGCATTCCAGCCAGGCCTTTCTCTGCTGTGCTCCACACCTAGCACAGTACACAGCACATAGTAGGGCCTCAGTGAATACACGTTGAGGGAATGAAAGGACTTCACTGGGGTGAATGGAAAGTCTGCAGGTCACTCTGGACCAACATCCCCACTAACCTTAAGAAGGGGTGGCTTCCCTTTGTCTTTTTCCAGCTGGTCGATGGGCTTCCCACCGTCACCCAGGACGGCGTGTGCTTGTGGCAACACCAGAAAGTTCTTTTCAGTTTAATGTCATCTGGTCCGAGGACTGGAGGTCATTTGCCCCCTCTCACAGATGGGGAAAACAAGGCTGGGGGGGCCCACTGCCCCCAAACACACATACAGCAGAGGCAGAGCTGGCACCCTGTACCCAGGCCCGCCTGCCTCCAAAGCCCAGCAGGGCCTCTGGACCCCACCTAACTGCCCTCTGATTCACAGAGAAAACAAGAGCCCAAACTTTAAAAAGAGTCTCTCCAGCCCCTGCCCCGAGCTGGAATCACCTGGAACCTTGGAGCAGGGGACCATGGACATCCCCATAAGGCAGGGCTGGCGGCCAACTGCATCCCGCCTGGGGCCCTGCCACGCTCGCGGATCTGGCGGCTGCAGCGCTGTACAACAGAAAGCCCTCCCTGCGCAGCCTCCAGAGCTCGGTGCCTCCGATGAGGGCCCAGGGCACGCCGGGCAGAGGCCCCAGGCATCCCCATGAATGTCCGGGAGAGAGCACTTTCCACCCCCACAGCGCCGCTGCCTCGCCAAGGCCGCGCACCCCGTCCTCATGCTCCAGGGAAGCCCTCCCTTTGCACCACAGACCACCAACCACAGAGTCCCTGCCCGTCCGCTCACACTGGGTGTCACCCTTGGTGACAAGTCTGGCTTGCCCACCAGGCTCTAGACAACCCAGAGACAAGAATCCCACAGGTAGGCACACAGTAGGCGCTCAGCTAATGCTGAGGAGGCGCCCAGTCATCAGACGGCCTTTTCTCCTCAATAGCAATTTGGCCAAGAAGCTTGAAACCTCGGAGCTGGGATTCTGCTGGCACCAAGCCAGCGGTCGGTTCACCGACACCTTTCTGCCTCCTCCCCACACCGCCTGGGAAAACCAGCGGTGCCCGCTGTGAACGGGAAGCTGCCACACTGGCTTCCTGCAGGCAATGGACCGGCCAAGCCGGCCACAGCAAGGAACTGCTTTTTTTCCTACTGGTGGCATCTCCCTGTAGCATCTCACGGTGCCTCCGGTGACACGGTAGAGCATGGTTCCTTCGACCCGGCAATCCCAGTCCCAAGACTCTTCCTCTCCAGTCACACTGGCACATGCGGCCACAGTCGGGGTCCACCCGCAGTGCTGTCTGCAAGGGCGAAAACTGGCAGCCACCCAAATGGCCCTCGACAGCGGCGGAGCAGGCTCAGGCTCAGTGGAATGAGTGCTCTGCAGCCCCGGACTCGGGGACGGCTCCCTGGGTACTGATAAGGAACTCCGTCCTGGAGACGCACGGGTGAACAGAGCCAGGTGAGGAACAGCACCCAGGCGTGCCTCCTGTTGTGTGAAAGGGGTGGGTGCACACTGTGCTCGAACACGCACGGACAGTTTTTGGCAGGACGTGCAACACGCTGGCTGTGTCACTGCCGCTGGGGACAACCCGCTGGGGAGGGTCGGGGGGGCTCACTTGGCATTAAATATACTTTTTCATTATTTGATTGTTTTCAATGTGCACCTACCACCTTTATACAAATTATTTTAAACTCTAGAAAACGTTTATAATGGGCCATGCAGATGTTCTAAGAATGGAACACGTCTCATCAATCACAGGTTGTCATAACTCAGCCTGACATGGGCTGGGGGCCAAAACGACGGACATCCATCCTTTCCAGGATTATCTCAAGTATGGCCACAAAGGCCGGAAAGTGTGTGGGTCTATCTGAATCCATTTTTGAGGGGACTCAGTTCAAAGGACCCTCCTCAGGTCCCTTCCCTGTCACACCCTGCCCCCCCCTCCACCCCGCACCAGCCTCAGCCACAAAGCAGACCAGGATCTGTTGGGCTGTCCCCCGGTGCTCCGAAAACTGCAGTGCCATGCCCTGGAGAGACCGCCATGGTGCACTGCCCCTCACAGGTGGCTCCTAGCCACACCAGCCTTCCCCAAACCTGGCCACATCTCCCCTGCACCCCCACCCCCCCACTGCTCCCCAGGGCTATGGCAGCAGCTTCTGTCTCTCCTGCCTCTGCTCGAAGCCCCCAGCTGGCCCTCGGCAAGCAATCAACACCCACACCCGGCCATGCCCTCCGCTGCTCTCCACCCTCCCGTGGCCCCAAACTACCTGGCCGACAGGCCCCCCGACTTGCCCCGTTCCTTTCTGTCTCCCTGAACATGTCCAAACACTCTTATCATTTAGACCCAGATGCCTGCAGGGAGGGTGGTGCCTAGTAATGACCCCAGGACCCCAGGTGTAAACGGGGCGTATCCAGGACAACCTGTACACACAGTGGGTAGTCCCATATGGGGGCCTCATTCCCATACGGCCCCCTTCACTTCCTCCTTTAGCCACACTGCCTTCTGGAATGTTCCCAGGATAGGCGGAGCATGCTCTTGCCTCAGGATCTTTGAACCCCACGCCCACTCCAGGTCTCTGTTCAAACACCACCTCACCAGGGCAGTCAGCCTTCCCCGGCCACCCGGTGTGCAAAGCAACCCTGGCTGCTCTCCTTCCCCTGCCCTGGCTCTATTTTCCATCACCTATCACTTTTCTATGAAAATCTTGTCTGTAGTGTCTGTTTAATGTCTGGTCTACCACAACGACATCTGCGCAGAGACAGGACCTGTGTCTGTCTTCATCCCTGCTGGATCCAGAACAGTGCCTGGCACATAGTAAATGCTCAACAGACATTAGTTGAGTAAATCAATAACACCCATTTGGTTGATGCAGAAACTGGGGTTCAGATAGGTTCAGGAATTCACCTGAAATTACCCAGCTAAAAATCAACCCTGGGCCTGGTCTCTTTTTCTGATGCCACCCTGGGGACCTGACACCAGGGTGCAGAGTCCTCTGCCACCCTTCACGAGGGCCCTGGCATCCCAAACTCCCCTGCATCTCTCAAACAGAGGGAGGAGAGACAGAGGTGAGCTGCATTCTTGTCCAAGAATAGTAATGATTCATTCAGGGTGGGATCCAAAAAAGAATTGCCTGGACGTCTGTTTTGAGTCGGCCAGCCTGCTGCCGTCCAGCCGGCACTCAGAGATGTAAATACGTCCTCCAAGTGGGCCAAATCGTTTCCTTTTGACTGCCGGCCAGCCATTTATTGGCGATGGCTCTTCCCTGGAGACTGATGGAAGCAACAATTATAAAAGAGCCCGTCCGCCCTGAGCATGGGGCCACACAAGGCTTTCTCCCCCGCCTCCCCCTTCCCACAGCTGCAGGGGAAGATTGGCTGAGCAGGGCTTGTTTGCAAATATGACTCATTTCTTTGATTCTAATAAAGTCTAATGATACGTGCGGAGCTCCCAGAGGGCTCTGGAGGAACTGGGGAGGAAGGAGGGCACTGGCCAGACCTGGCCCCGCCTGTCTTCCTCCAGGGCTAGGGGTGAGGCAGGACCCTCAGGACGATGGCACCCCAGAGCAGGGGTGAGCAGGACCAAGGTGACTGGGGGAAGAAGCTCTGCTTCCCATTATGCACTGACTCAGAGTTAAATTATAAAGCCAGCGTGTAACGATTACCTTCGGGGGCCGGGTGGCTCTCCCAGGGACCTGGCAGAGGGCCCCTCACCGGCCCCTGCTGAGCGTGGCACTTCAGTGATGCAGAGGGGGCGGGCACAGAGGATCCAGACCAAGAGAAGACCCCACGTGTAACCTCCGAGTGGGGTCTCACACGCGCGCCCACACACACACACGGCCTAACGGCAGCTGCGGCTGTGGACTTAGCCTGGACTCGCAGGTTGAGGAAACACAGACACTGAAGGTGGCATCCGTTGGCTGAGGACAGAGCTGGGAACTCAGCCGCAGAGCACCCTCTGACACGTCACTTCACCTCTCGGGTCCTCCGTGTCTCATCTCCTAAGCCCCACCTGGAGGCCCTGACTTAACTTCTTTGACACTCTAGCCAGGCTAGGGGTGCTGGCACGCTATCACAGGGGTTTAGACAGGGGTTTGAACACGCCCCGAGGACGTGCAGCTGGGACTCGGGGGAGCCAGGGGGCAGTCCCCAGGCTGAGGGATGGGAGCGCCACCCCCTGCTCTCCACCGTCTCCTCCTGTGCAACTGGGGGGGTGCGGGGACGATCAGCGGGTCCTCCTCTGTCCAGGGCCAGGAGGAAGTATCCGGTCCCACGGTGCCTCACTGCTTGATGCCCAGGGAGCTGCTGAGCACCCAGCACGCACCATTTCCCCGAGGAAAAGACAGCTCCGGGGCCCGTGCATACGGTGCGGGTAAGAGAAGGGAAACAACGGCTACGACAAGGCTTCACCTCGAGGTGCAGGGACGCCTGCCTTGGCAGACCCACACTGCTCTGCAGCCCAACAGGGGAACCAGCCAGAGACACTTCGGTGTCAACCCAGCAAGCCTTCTCCATGGAAACCCCAGAGCTAATCACTGTGGAGCTGGTGGCTATTCTCGGGGCAAGTCCTGTAAGCTGAATCTCACCCCAAAGGGATCCCAGACCCACTGATGGCCAAGCCCCCTGAGGCCCAGTATAGAGTCTGTACTTAATACACATCCCAGTTTTTCTCCCACCAGTGTTCACTAAGCAATGTCCAGCACACACAGATGCACTCATGTCACTCCCCTTCTTGTATACCTTCCATGGGTCCCCCTTCTAAAAATAAAAAGCAAAGCTCAAACTCAGCCTAACATTCGAGGCCTCAGTCCTTCTCCCTGGCCCCAGGTGTCCTGTGCTCTGACCAAACCAATGACTTGCTGTTCCCAAAACAATCACGTGCTTTCAGGATACATGGGATGTTCCTTCTGCCCAGAACGCCCTTTCTCTCGCCTTTTCAGCCTGGTGAGCTTCTACTTATCCCTCAAAGCCCAGCTTATATGGATGGCCATTTGCAGAAGGGAAAATGAGGCCAGAACTGGGTAGGGACTTGCTGCTCCAGGCTACACCACCAAGTGGATGCAGATACGTAATTAATATGAAGAACTAGCTCTGGCTGGTGTGGCTTAGTGGACTGAGTGACGGCTTGAGAACCAAAGGGTCATAGGTTTGATTCCCAGTCATAGCACATGCCTGGGTTGTGGGCCAGGTCCCCAGTAGGGGACGTGTGAGAGGCAACCGCACACTGATTTTCTCTCCCTCTCTTTCTCCCTCCCCTCCTCTCTCAGTAAATATAAATAAATAAATTTTTTAAAAAAGAATCAGCAGTCAGTGAGCACTTAACTGGGCGGAAACACTTAAAATCCTCTCAGGCTGGGTGAGATCACTGTATGGGAAAAGTCATGAGAGGATCTGAGCTAAGAAACGACATGTTTGGATTCACAACCGGCCGCAGACATGCAAGGGCAAGGCAGGCAGAGAGAGGGCCAGTGCTGGGTCTGGAGAGAGATGATGAGGGTCCCGAGGTGAAGGGCAGAGGGCTGCAGTGTGAGTGGGGACGGTGACCAGACTCTGAATATACTTTAAAGGGAGAGCCAAGAGGACCTGTGAACTGGAGTTTTGTCCACTATGAGGACACTGAATAAATAGCAATGGCCCCTGTTTATCACGCAGGCTCTCAGGCTGGCCATCCCTGGGAGGGCAGTGCTGTGATGTTTCCTGGTACAGGTGAGGACACCAAGGTCCAGGGAGGCAAGGCACCTGCCCAGGCTAGAAGTGGCACAGCTAGGGTTTGAGCCCAGGCGGCTCATCCACACCCGAGGCCATGAGGCCCCAGCAGGCGCCCAAGTGGCGGGTTAAGTGCCAGTGTCCTGGGAGGACAGGCCCTGGGTGATCAGGCTGTGCCACAAACAGCAGAGAGCGGACAGGGCTGTGGTCTCAGGCCTGCTGAAGTGAGAAGAATAAAGTGCCGCATTTCTGTGCTTATAAACTCAGCTCTTCGATGGGTGGGCAGCTGAGGGGGTGGTGAATGTGCTTGCAATGCCCCCTCTGTCCACAAGGGGAAACACATGCACATAAAGAGCCCCGGGGACTTGGGGGCACACACTGAAAGGCCCGCATATCATGACAGGGACCTGCGCCATCTGAGTGAGGGCTGACTGACTTGCCTATTATTTCCCACCTCTGGCCTCAAATCATGCCTGGGGCCAAGCAGCAGGCAGCCACTTCCTCTGCTGTGGGCCTGTTCCTGAGCAAGGTTCTCAGAGGTGAGGAGACACCTTGGAAACAGCAAAGCCACACACAAGAGAGAGGGAGTATCATTGTATGATGAGTAGGGTCCACCTGCTTCCGTAGCATCCCCGGCTCCAGGCTCCCGGGCTTCATGCAAGGCCTTGCCGCAGTTATTTCCAGTTGGAGGGGCCGCACCCATGAAGGGCAAGACAAGTGATGCACTAAATATATCTTCAACTGTCCTCCAAGGACTGGGTTAGAAGAACTTTCCTATATATCAGTTAAGAGGTACCCGAACTTCAAGCCCCTCCACACACTGCCTTTCTGATGTTTGTCCTATGTGTATGCTCCTATTGACAACAGTGTGGTAAACTGTAAAAGTGCCCCTAATTCTCTGCTCCTCTCATAAAGAGACAGAACCTATTTCTCCACCACTTGAATCTGGGTTAGTCTTGTGGCTTACTTTGGCTAATAGGACATTAAAAAAAAAATGATACAAGCAGAGGCTTAAAAACTGCTCTTGATTGGGACTTTCTTATTCATTGCTTTGGAATGTTGAGCTGCCTCTGAATAAGCTTAGATTGCTGCTGGGTAATGAGATCATATGGACCCTGGAACCCCAGCCAATAACTCCCCAATCCACAGAACAGCTACCCTCATGCCCTACTAGCTGACCTTCCCATGAGGGAACCCAGCAAAGACCAGAACAACTGCCCAGGCAAGCTCAGCCCAAACTGCCAATCAGCAGAACCTTGAGCCAAATAAATGGTGTTGTTTAAAGCCACAGAGTTGGGGATGGTTGTTACATAGCAAAAGCTAACTGACACATAATTTTCACTCTATCTGTTTACCTTTTCATTTGAATAACTACTCCAGCTTCATATATGCATTTTCCTTCATGCCATAACAGGTTTGATGTGCTAACTATATTTCTTCTAAAATACATTAAGAAAACTGTATCATTTTCAGACAATATAAGTACATATACCTGCATCTGGAAAAACATCCTCAAACATCCTCATAAAGATCCCACGGGTGTTAGAACGATTCATTCCCCTCATTTCACAGTTAAAGAAACTGAGGCTCGGAAAGGGGCAGATACTTGCTGAACATCAAACAGCCAGTAAAATGGCAGAAATGGGACTCAATTCCAGGCCTGTCTGAGACCAAAGGCACGGATTTATCTCCATATCTGTACCCAGCTTCTCCCTGATCCCATATTGCTGGGGAGAAGACAAAGGAGTGGGCTGTCTCCTCTGCCCCCACCCAAACCCCCCCCCTTCCTTAGGGAGCCCAGCCTTACTCCCAGAACTCGGTGACAGGGGAAGTGAAGTTGCTGGTGTTGAGAGTGCTCCACAGGGTCTTGTTCTTGCGCAAAGTGTCCTCCATGCAATGGGGCGTGTTCCAGGTGTGGTTGCAGTGCGCCCAGGGCAGCTCTGACTGGAAGGACTGGAACAGGTAGTATGTGGCCCAGGCCAGGATGATGATGTAGTACACATTCAGGAGGGACACAATCACAATGGAGGCGTAGCCGATGCCTACGGGTGTGGACAAGCAAGACAAGCATCAGGAGGAAGGCCAGGCCCACTATGTCCACATGCTCAAATGGAAGGCTGTGGCACCCCCAGGGGACCTTCCACAGTGACCAGCAAATATCTGTAAGGTTATAACAGGTGACTAGATGGATGGATGGATGGATGGGTGAAAAAACAGATGGTTAGATTAATGGGATACTTGGATGAATAGAAGAGCCTGCATGGAGATGGGGCAGGTCAATGAATGGGTGGTTAGATGAATAAGTGGTGAGAGAACTGGTTAGAGAGACAGAGAGCTGAGTGGGTTTATGTTGGACTGATGGATGGGCATGTGGTTGGTTAGATGGATGCATGGCTGGTGATCGGCTGGAAGGTGAGGGCGATGAACAGACGGAGGAATGAGTAGATGGGTAGACAGATGGATGATGGATACATGAACAGACAAATGGATGAATAATCTAATTAAATCGACTAGTTTAAAGAAGAAAGATTTGATGGACAATAGATGGACATGTTTATATGGGTGACTAAATAGACACACATCCTGCCATTCTTGCCAATTATAATCGTTAACAGTGTTATCTTACGAATGCATGCTGGGTACTAGACATAGGACTGAATGTTATAATAACAATGGTACCATTAATGTGGGGCTTATGATGAAGACAAAGCACTGTTACATGACTGTGTCATTTTGTCTGCATACTGAAGTAAGCATACCGTTTCCCTTCTATAGAGGAAGAAATCGAGGCACAAAGAGATTAAGTGACTTTCCCAAAGTCACAAGAGTTAGCAAGAGAAGGAGAAGAGGGACTGGAACCCAGACAGCAGACCCCTGAGTCCGAGTGCTTGTCTCCTGCACTACGCCGCTGAGCAGCTGCCAACTTCTCTGCCCTCCCACAGCCCAGAGAGCTGGGACCAGCCGGTACATGCTGAGCAGTCACTGTGAGCAGCATCACGCGTGCCAGGTACAGGCTGCTACCTTCTAGCGGGCACAGTGCCAAGTGACCTGCATGAGGCTACGAGGTACCTGGCAAACAGCAAGTGCTCAGTAAAAACTGGCAGAACCCAGGAACACTAGGGCCCCGGACCTCTGTCCCAGACTCACCGGAGAACAGGGGGCAGATCTTCTCCCAGCAGGTGATGCCCCCTTCAGAGGTGTACTGGCCTATGATCACCTCCAGGAAAAACACAGGCAGGCCGCCCCCAAACAGGAAAATAAAATACGGTATGAGGAAGGCACCTGCGGAGAGAGCAGAGCGGATGAGGGTCAGGCTGGGTCTGTCGCAAGAGCCGAGGCTGTGGGCACTCACTCCCAAGCCCTCCCAGCCAACAGAACAGAGAGAATGTGTGCGGATGTGAGGGGTGGAGGCCAAACTCCTGGACGTGGTGGAGAATTCTCCAGGCCCTGCCCACCTGTCCATCGGGCATCACCTTTCCGGTTCACCCTTTCACTTTCTTCAAGTCTACCAGGTGCTTTAAGCCTCGGAGCCTCTGGTTAAGCTGTGCCGACTGCCTGCTTATCTTCCCCACATTGTCCATCTGAATAAGAGCTGTTCAGCCCTTAGGACCCATCTCAAATATGACCACCTCATGGAAGCCTTCACCTACCTGTCCTCAGGCCTGCGCAGAGCAGGAAGCTGAGGTGAACTAGCTAGGAAGGGTGCGGCGATGAGAAGCAAGAGGTGGGCACCTCCAGCCGGGGGTGGGAGCCAGGGGAGGAGTGAGGGACAAAGAGTCGGGGTGAGGGTTCCTACCTGGTGTCCACTAATGGCTTCAGCGGGTCCATAAACCCTTTGAAACTGTGGGCAACTTGGGTCTATGTGTATGCGCTTTGCTCTGGGGAGCGTCTAGAACACTCATCAGAGTCCCAAAGGCACCTGAGACCTACAAAAGGTTAAGAAACCAGACTCTAAGGCAGAATTTCCCAAAAGGCAGTTCTCCTAACGCGGACTGTATGCAGTGTGTCCACCTCTGTGGACCGCTAAGCCCTCAGGCACAGGCAGCTTTCCCTACCCAGCCCTCCTCGGGCTCTCCTGCTGCACAGCCAAGGTCCCAGCACGCGCCGCCCAACCGCAGCACCACCCGCAGGAGAGACTCTAGCTCTCAGCCTTTGGGTAAAAAGCCCAAACCAACCAACCAACCAAGACCTCAATATTTTAAAAATATCTTCAATGAGTGAAGATGGTGAAAAGCTACAAACTTCCAGTTATACGTAAGTTCTGGGGACGGAATATACAGCACGGTGACTATTGTGAATAATACTGCGCTACCCTTGAAGCTGCTAAGGGAGGGATTTTGAAAGTTCTCAAGACAAGAAAAAAAACTGTGTGACTCTGAGGTGAGTCACGCTAACTAAACTTATTGGAGTGGTTATTTCACAACACGTACACCTATCGAGTCATTACGTTGTTCCCCTGAAACTAATCCCAGGTGATACGTTCATTATATCTCAGAAAAACTGGAGAAGAAATTTTAATTAAAATAGGAAAATCAAAAATCTCTTCACTGTATATTTTTTCCCTAGGTACCTTTCCATCATGGCAAACAATGCTGATTTTCCCTTTAGGAGGGGGAGCGAAGCTTGCTTTTGAACCACGTTTGGTTTGAGTTAGAGAAGCCAAAGCAAACGTTAGGAGAGATATAAAGTAAGGAGTCAGGAGGCACACGGATACAATTTACGAAGGGAGTGTGAGTGTCGGAGGCTTGGGGGCCGTGGGTCTCATCACCCTTCTTCAGAGACGGCAAACTGGAGGACCAGAGAGTCTGAGGGATCTGCCGGACGGAACACAGCAGGGCCCTGACAGAGCACCACCTGACTCCCAGGCGGGCCCCTCTCCTGCTGCTCAGGCCGGGGGGATGGGGGGTGGGTGGGGAGGGGGAGGCCAGGCTGCGGCAGGCTGACCGAGGGAGGTCCAGGGGGGGACTAGGGAAAGCAGGGCACAAGACGCCACCCCCCTCCCCCGTCTGCTCCCACCCTCTTCTCTGCCCAGCCCAGACTCACCTCCACCATTTTTGTAGCAGAGGTATGGGAAACGCCAGACGTTGCCCAAGCCGACGAAGCCGCCAGCCACAGACAGCAAAAAGTCGATCTTGCTGGACCACTTCTCCCTCTGTGGGGGCTTCCCCTCAGCCTCATCCTCGGGCCGCGTGCCAGGGCTCTTCCCTGGGGATGGCTTCAGGATGTCCTTGTGAAAGTCTTTCAGACACTGCAGCTTCTCCTTGGTGGCCATCTCCTCCTCGCTTTCTGCAGGGACAAAACAGAACCCAAGACGTCGGTAAGGAACAGCCTGTGTGTCTTCAACACAACTTCTCCCTTCTCACCCACGGGCTGCCTCTGACCTCCCCAGGCCTGTGGCAACGGGCCGGCCATCTCCTTGTCCATCCACTGCTCTGACAACGAGCTGACCATCTCCTTGTCAGTCCCATGCTCTGACAACGAGCTGACCATCTTCTTGTCCATCCACTGCTCTGACAACACCCTGAGTGATTCAGACCCCCTGCAGGCAAGCGGACACCTGACAACTCGGAAACCGACAGATTCCGCTCCTCGGGCAACTGCTGAGGAGAAGCAGCTTGAGCCCACGTTTGTCGTCCTCGAATGTCCCACCTTATCTTGCACTTAATGGCACATAAGCACAAAACTGCCCCTGCCCTGGCACCATTGCTGCAAAATTCAACACATCCCAGACAGTTCTAAGGCACCCTCCAAATAACCCCTGCCTGAATTTTCTGGAAATGAAGATACTATTTCCAAATTTCAATCTGCACAGAAAACAACAGCCCCCGTGGCAACCAGGACACAGCACGGTGCCTGAAGCCCGGGGGGCGCCTGACCCTGGCTGCCTGAAGAACGGACAAACGCAAAACGAAGGAGGAATGGGGTTTCAGGCTGGAATGGGAACCACCTGAAAGTGGGGTTTCCATCAAAGTGTGGGCAAATGCATGTTTATGAAATATATTTGCAATTCACTAACCAGTCTCATGTCTACAGCATAAAAAATAAGGGATTTGCACTGGTGAGGATTACGTAAGACAGCCAGTCAATCTCCCTCTGTCCACCCCTCTCCATGGGTTCTCTGGCTGGTGCAGACCCTTGCATCCTCCCGGCGTCCCACTGACTCCCTGTCAGGTCTGGCAATGGCAGGCTCCCAGAGGAGGTCAAACCCCGAAGCCTCCGGGAGCTGTGTGTGGTCACACTCAGCCCACTGCTGCTTGGACCCCATTCGAGAGGACATCTGCCACTACGCCAGGGCAGAGCCCCTTCTTCCCGTACCTCCTCAGGTCCCCGACTCCTCACTTTCCCTGGGAGTGTGGCCTTGAGGGCAAGAGCACCAGGAGTCCCAGCCCAGAGGGACAGGGCGTCCTCAAGGGTCTACCCCCACCAGGCAGAGGGCCGCAGAAGACGGATGTGCTGGGGGGCCAGAGCCCGGGGGCCTGCCTCCCCCTGTTCCTCCCCCTGTGCAGTGGAAAGGATAATGGCAAAGGTGACCCACTCACAGCCAAGCAGCCTGGGATACAACTGGTCCCCACGATCTACACTGGTGGCCACCACTGTAAATACCAGATTTCGGAGCAAAGTTAAGATTTCTAGGTTCTCTTGACAAACTGGAAGGTCGGACTGAGTGTATTGTAGCTCACACTCCCTCTGGCAACCATCAGGTGGACCCGATGGGGGTCCCGTCACACGGGCAGGCTCGGGCTGGCTCAGCACCCCGCTCACAATAGGACACCGTCAGCTGGCATCTGAGCCTGTCCTGCCACACTGCTGGGCACTCCCTGAAAAGCTGTTGATTCACGTCCTTGCCTCCTTGATAACCATCTCCTCCTCGACCAAAGTAGTGCCTCAGGGACCTCTCTCGTCCACTGCTATTTGCCCAGAGCCGGGTGCACAGTAGGCCATCAAGCGAGAATTGTTAGGTAGATGGTTCCCAGAGTGGGATCTGCAAGCAGCTGGCGCTAAGTGGGAACCCCAGCTCAGCCCCTTCCCAACCACAGGACTCAGAGAGTCACTGGGCCTCAGCCTGGCTTTCCTCGCTGCCTGGCCCAGAAGGCGGGGCTGCCTGAGGGCCTGGGGTGTGGAGAGGGGATGTGTTGGCCTGGCCCCAGCAGCCAGGCCCACAGGGGCCGTGCCCGGAGGAGCAGAGGCACAAAAGCACAACAGAACCCCTGTTTCCCCCACGCCTCCTTCCTCTCCCTGGCTCAGGGTGGGGGACCCCAATTGTTTTGCTATCTGGTGGAGAGCAGACCAAGAAAAGGCTTCCTGGAGCCACCGGGCGGCTCACTGAGCCCTTCCTCTGTCTCCCAGAGTGCAGACTGGTGGCGGCATCCGCATGGCCTTTCTTTGCCCTGCTCCCTTGGGGCGACGTGGGGGTTCGCCCAGGCGTATGGCTACTGTAAAAATAGCCCGAGCAGCCAGCATTGTTCCAGTGTTAATGTGTGCAGCCCCCGATGGTTATCTGAGTGATCCATTGTAGGCTGGCTGGACGGGAGCATAATTGGAGGATGTGGGACTCAACTCCCTCCTAGTGAAGATGTTTTTCAGGGAATGACCCCTGAGCCTCTGAGGAAGGTCGGTTCCGCCCTGTTGGGCTCTCCTTGGATCTCAGAGCTGGAAGGCACTTCACAAGGTCAGCCAGATGAGAGGGAGGTGGCCAGCTTCTGCTCACATAGGCAGCTGAGACTGGCAAAATTTGCCCCCACTAGAAGCTGGGGTCTGCTTCCCCTTGGCTACCCTGAGAGTCCTGGGTCTGTCCTCTGGCCCCCACACCCACTTGCCACACTGGCACTCAGGGAACCCTCTAAAAATATGGGGGAAGGGGGGAGCACCAAGTTCTCTGAGACCTCCTCTGTTCCAGGCTGATTTCCTACAAAGTGAGGTCTCCACCCCCTCTCCACACTCAGAGCCCCATCTTTCCCACCCCTGCAGCCATGCCCGGGTGGAGGTAGGGCCTGAATGGGGCAGAGCTGGGACCCGTCAGTGCCCGGTGTCAGGGGGCTTCCCCATCCCCATTCCCAGGGAGCATCCAGAGATTCATTCCTCCTTCACCGTGACCTGCCCTCCCTTGTGGGTGCTGTACTCACAGGCCCTGCCTCTGGCTCCCTCGGGCCAAACCATCCTCCACGGCCTCCCCCAATGCTCTCTCACGCAGGATGAGGCCACACCCATGTGCAGACACCCCAAATCCCTCTCCAGGGGCTCATTCCAAGCCCCTCTGGGGTGTCTGACCAGCCCTGTGCCTATAGAAGCCCACAGCAGCAAGACAGTGGATTCAGCCTCTCATATATTCCTGGCATCCACCCACTTCTCTCTATTGCCATGGCAACCACCTCGCTCCAGGCCCCAATAGTCCTGGAAGAGCATGGGAGGCAGCAGCCTCCTCACAGGCCTGCCTGCTGACACTCTGCCCACCCCCCGCCATCTATTCTCACACAGCAGCTAAAGGCAACTTACAGAGTACCCTCAGACCATCACGCCCTACCAGCCAACCCTCCAACCTCTCCTAGAAGAAAACCCAGCTACTCCCCACAGCCTACTGGGGCCCCTTTTCCTTGGGACACTAGCCCCACAGAACTGCTGTACTCCGTCCCCTCCTTAGGCTCAGACTCCCTGCATGCGGCTCCAGGCCCTCAAGTGATAGCCTGGCCCCTGCAGGCATCAAGGCTCGAACCCTGGCCTCAATGCTGAAAGCCACTTCTTGGCTGGGTGACCTCAGGCAAATTATTCAGCATCTCTGGTCTCCAGTGTCCTCATCTGTAAAGTGGGGATAATTGTACCCACCTCACAGGCATGTGGTGAGGACCGATGAGAGAGCTGTGTAGAAAGTGCTTAGAACACTAGTTGGCATGAGGCACGTACTCCCTAAATAGTAGCTGCTAGTATTACTGTTGTTATTACAGCTATAATTATTATCGGGTCCAGCCTGACCTTGGGGTCAGTCCTACTCAGGGTGAAATCAGCAAGGCCCAGAGAGCCAAGTGACACTCCCAAGGTCATGAAACTGGTTGTGACAGTGACTGTGATGTACCCGGGTTCTTGGCTCTGCTTCTGCAGTCCCTCTGCCAGCCCAGCCTGATCTCAGGCGACACTCGATGAGACCCACTGATTCTCCATCACACCCAGCAGCCCACCCCATGATCCAGAGCTTAGGAACGAGCTCCCTCCACAGGCGTCCCAGCAGGCACTGCCTCACTGCCTGCCCTGAGAGCTGTTTTCATTGGCGCCAGGCCCAGGGCTATTTTCTAGCAAAGGTGATACATAATTCCCCATTTTAAGAGCTTCCTCTTTGATTATTACAGCCACGAGCGATTAGACCGGCTCCGATACAGAGGCTCCAAGATGAAGGCTCCCTCGCGGCCCAGCTGCAGCTCTCCTTGTCTCTGCTCCAGGCTGAGGCCAGAGCCGGCCATGCCCTTAGGACGACTTGAAGATGACCTGGTCAGCTCTGACACTGCTCAGACAGATTCGGCCTGGTGGCAGCGATGCAGTGGATTTAGAAGAGGTTCCTTTGCTCCCCTGATTGAAAACTACCAGTACTGACTCTGGGCCGAGCTGTCTGGAAACAGTTTTCTATTCACTCTTCAAAGACCCTTCTTGTGGAGGGGCTTTTAGTCGTACAGACAGGGAGTTGAGCTTCGAGCAGGAAAGGGGACTGGAACCAGAATCCCACCTTGGTCTGCTCAAGGCCCAAGGCATTGGAGCATGGCTATTTGCAGATGCGGACACTGAGGTCAGAAGGGGAAAGGACTACAGAGGTACAGAGGGTTGTCCTGCCTGCCTGCCTGCCTGCCTGCAGTGCCCTCCCACCCACTCTGGCCCCAGGTGCCCTCGGCCAGCTAGCTGGGCCTTAGGTTGAGTGGTACATGCCGCTGTGGCTGTCTCCCCCAGCATCTGCCGCCTGAGGCCAGGGATATGGGGAAACCAAGCCCTTCCCTCTCTTTCTAGGAGAAGCTGCCCAGCAGTGAGGGGGTCCCTGCCTCGGCCTCCCTGCAGAACCTGACCCTTCCCCAGGTCCCCACGCAGCTACATTGTAGTGAACAATGACCTAAATCTCGCATTGTCACTGACTTAACCTCTTGGGAGCTTCTGCCATGGTTTTAAATAAGAGGACAGGGACTTATTCTGTTTCCTCTTTGGAGTACTCCCCCTACTCCAAAAGGGCCAACCACACACACAGACTCTACGATTGGTTGGACAGTTGCCGTGTCTCCGAAAACCTCATGGGGCAGGGAAGTGGCTCCCAGCGCCCCAGAACTAGGGGAGGAGGAGACCTGGATGACAGACCCATTTTACAAGTGGGGAAACCCAAGGCCTGAGTGGCCCCCGCCTGCTGGGCTGGCTGTAGAGTGAAGCACACTGCTGGTCCCCTTGTCTGCCCTCCTTTCCAGTCCCCGGTCCACTCCAGAGCCAGTGTTCCGGGCTCACTGAGGTCATGACTATGCTCTGTGACCCGGGGCCAGTGACAACCTTCTCTGCACCTCAGTTTCCTCGGTTAAAAAAACGGGGGGTGAAAATAAAACTCGCCTCACAGGGACTAAGTTCGGTGATGCCAATAAAATTTTCAGCATAGAGCCTGGTATATACTAACTGAATAATAAATACTGGATATTGTATTTTACCGTGCTATGTGGCAGACATTTTATCCTGAGTGTTAAAAAAAAAAGAAGGAAAGCAAGCAGGCTGCATTTATTGGGCACTGACAGCATACACACTTATTCTGTACTATGCTGAGGCATTGCAAGCGTTTTCTCAGCCCCTCCATGATGCTGTTGCCATCTCTGTTTTGATGACAAGGCGCAGAAAGGTGAAGTCACTTGCCCAGAGTCACACAGCAAGTAAAAGGCCACCAGAGCTTCAAATGGCTCCTGGGTCTGTTTTGGCCCCTAAATTCCATGTTTTCAACCACTTGGCTGTTTGGGATCACTTACTTCAGCAAAGTCACAAAGTCAGATCGGGTCTGGCGCCTTTAAGCCAACTTCAAGCCACTGGACTGGGCTGGCAAATTAGGGAAGTAGGCAAGGGCAAACAGGGAAGTGAGGGACCACATGACAGAGACGGGGCAGGGCCTGGGGACCTGCTGAGCAGTCCGTGCCAGGGCCCCAGGAGTTAGCTGGGCGGGCCAATGACACCCCCGGGACTGGGGCAGACGGGGACAGAGCTGTGGGCTGGGGGCTTCCTCTAGCACACAGACAGCCTCCCAGAGTTCTCTGCTGGGTTGAAGGGGCTCCTGTGAGCGCCGTCTCCACAGATTGCAGGCTTGGGGCAGGTGCAGTGAGGAGGACACCCGGGCTCAATGGGTAACTTCGGCCACACGCCATCCTGGCCCAGGAAACGTGTGCTGACCAAGCCCCTTCCCCCTCAAAAGTGCATTGTGTTAACAGCACAGTTTCCCCCTCTACCAGGGGCACCTAATTTTGAAAAGTAGACATTAATCATAGGAACTTCTTTTTTTCTTATAAAAGTATACCTATGAAGATTTAATCTTTTGATTGAGTCCTGTGGACTGTATCCTTCTATCTTGTTTATTTGTTTAAGTTTGCTTTTTATTATTGTTGTTGTTGTTGCTTATTTGACAGTAAAAGCAAATAGCTATGCTCTCAGTAAACCAAAACACATTTTTTTAAAATCACATAGATTTGCTAACCACATTTCAAAGGTAATGCTGTTATCTATTCTTAACTCAGGCTAACTCAGGTGTGACAAGCTCAAAGGCCTCAAAGCTCAAAGGCCTCTGGGGGCCTGCCCGGCGGGGACAGCAGTCCAGCGGGAAGGCCACAGGGAGGAGCAGGGACAGGGGCCCACTGGGGCCAGCTCCTCCAATTTCTCAAGACAGGTTGAAATCCGAGCTGTGTGGGCACACGCATTGTCCAATTTCTAAAACACTGTGTGGGCCAAACACAAACAGTTTGCCCTCTTTGGTCGAACCATTGCCCCAGGTCACTCAAGGTGGCCACAGCAAAGGACAGGCTGACCAGCCCAGCCTCACAGGCCTGATGGCCCACCCCAGTGAGGTCATCCAGGAAGCCTGGCATTGTTTTGCCCGGAACAAAGCCTAAACAATGAGCAGCAGTATCCTGGTCCTAGTGAAAGTGAATTGTTTGGACAACTGTTTTCAGCACACCATCTCTGGGGACAGGGCTTGTTACCCACCTGAGTTTGACGGCTGTGGGCAAGGTTCTCCCTTCCTGTAATTAAACTGCAATCAACCTCCCCGCCCCACAAAAGTTCAGGTCTACCCTCAGAGACCCCCACCTCCACCGAGAGCGCCCACCTGGCTCGGCTCAGCCTTAGAACTCCAGGAGCATTTACTCCTCCCGAAGCCTCCCGGGGAGGATCTGACCCAGGCCCACGGCCACAAGGCGGAAGACCCAGAACCGCACCCAAACCCTGGGCCAAGGGACCTCCGCACAGGCACCCAGCAGAGTAGGCTATGCTGCTCATCTGTGGTTTGCAAAGGGAAAATGGGGGAAGGTAGGCAAATTCTGAAAGAACCAGCCTCTGGTACAGCTCTGGGGGGGAGCAGGGCAGGATGCGGGCCTGATGCACAGCCACCTTGTCCTCTTCCCCTCCTAAGGGAGCACTGGCAGGTTAAAGGTCTGGGTCCCAATTTCTTATCTCCCTACAGATGGCAGGCCTTGCCCCAAGGCCTGGAGACCACAGGTGGGCAGCAGAGAGCAAACAAAGGGGAGGATTCGGGGAGGAGGCGGAAGGTTGCAGAAGGTCCCCCTGTGGCGGGGCCGGGCCTGGGGAAGGGCAGAGGGGCCAGGGGAGGATGACCTGGCTCTAGGTGAAGGCGAGCTGGGCACACATCATGCCCAAAACAGAGGTGCCCCAGGCACCAGCCGAGCAGGCCATGGACTCAGGAAAGGGCAGTGGGTTAGGAGTCAGAGAGCCGGGTCTAGTTTGGTTCCGGTGGGTCACGCAGGGCAGCTACTTCCCCTTTGCAGCTCAGATGTCCAGGGAGAAAGCAGAGCAAAGGTGGCTTTAGCAAGCAGTGAAAGCTGGATAAACATTCACTGACAACCTACCCTAGATGCCAAGGCACGGCTCCAGGAACTGGGGGCATGGGTGTGGGCCCTGAGGAGTTGACATTCCAGAAGGGAGACAGACACCAAACACACACACAAGTTCCTAGTTACCCCCGGGCCCAGAGCGTAGCAGACAACCAAGCAAGATGAGGTCAGGGGGCACAGGGAGTCAGAGAAGCCCCTCTGGGGACTGGCCGTAGGCAGGCCCCACACTAAGTCCTTTCAGGTACCAGCTCACTTATTCCTCTTAGAAGCCTGGATGAAAGAATGAGGCCCAGGGAGGCGAGGCCACTTGTCCAAATCCACACCCCTGGGAGCTCTGCCCAGCAAACATCTGGAGGAACAGTGTTCTCAGAGTGGGGAGCAGCATGTGCAAAGAGGGCCACACTGGGCAAGGTGAAGCAACAGAGAAGGCCAGTGTAGGAACCGAGAACAAGAGAGGTCAGGGCACGGGGTGACCTGGACAGGAGACGAGGCCTGGAGGCCAGGGTGAGAACCTAGATTTACCCAGAAGGTAGTGGGAGTCCCTGAAAGCTTCCTTCTGCCCCACTGAAGGCTCAGCACATTCAGCTGAAAGCCCCACGCTTGTCCCTGACCACCTACCTAGCCAACCCATGCCTCCCACTCTGGGAAATTTGAGGGCCCATAGCGGGCTTTTCCCTGTAAGCCATTGTCAGTGGGGACTTTCTGGTGGTGACCTGCATAGAGCCCAAGCCCTTAGCTCAGACATCCCAATGCCAGCCAGCCTCTTCCTCATGCACCGAGTCCCTTGGGATGGGCTGAAGGTGGCGCTGGAAAGAGGAACCAGCCACAGATGGGCGGCGGAAGTCCTTCCCCTGGGCCCAGTGACGCAGAGAAGAAAACGTTCTCATGCATCAAATCCAATCCCCTCATCCCTCCTTGGGGGAGGCCCGGGGGTTTGGAAAGAAGAGGGTCAGCCTTTGATGCTATTCAATCTCAGACAGGTCAGTCCCCTGCCCCGAGCAGGCCCTTACTCACCGGGAGCTGGTCAGGAGAACAAGCCGTCCCACGCTGACTGAGTGCCGACTGCCCGGCTGGCTCAGGCCCGCTGCGGGGAGCCCGGGGTCACTTTCATGCCCTCACAGTGCTAACGCCCAGAGACAGGGGGAGGGGCCATTTGTCAAAGTAACAAAGTTTTCTACCAGTCCATGAGGAGGACAGGAGCCCACGACGCGGAGCGAAGGGGGAATATGAAAGAGGCTTCAAGGAGGAAGTCTCATGACACCGCTGGCTGAGCCCACCAGCAGGACTTGGCCCTGCACTCCACAGGAAGGAGGGGGTGTGGGCACGCTCAAGCCTCTCCGATCCCGTCTGAAGGGGCTCAAACCCCAAATGCCACTTAGCAGACTTCCAGCATAGGCCACGTGCCACCATAACTGAAGCTAAGCTAACGGAGAGAATTAGGGAAGCGGAGGAGGGCCGCCATGATGTCTGCTGGTGCTCAGGGGCCTGTTTTCAGGCACAGGGCGGTGAGTCAGCAGGCCACAGCCTCCAGGCACTGACTCACCGACCACAAGCCTGTCACTGCGCTCCCTGTCAGCTTCCCCACCACCCCAGGCCGAGGCCTGGTTTTGCCGGAAGTGGGGGTGGGGTGCAGTCAATCGTGATCCTGAAGCAGGCTCTGTGGCACCCAGAATTATTTCTGGAGGCCACAAAAAGAGACATGAGAAAAAAGCTTAGTTTTTATTTCCTCAAACTTCCCCTTTTAAGTCACCCTAAAGCCACCCTCCTCTCACAGGCTGTGAAAAGCAAACACAGAGCCCTGGTCAGGAGGCTCAAGTTGGCCAGAACATTATCCTGTGCACCAAAAAGTTGCGGGTTCAATTCCTGGTCAGAGCATATGCTGGGTTGCAGGTTTGTGTTGGGTTGGGGTGCACGGGGGAGGCAACGGATGGCTGTCACTCACATTGTCATTTCTCTCTCTTTCTCTCTCATCAATGAAAACATATCCTCAAGTGAGGATTTAAAAAAAAAAAGCAAACAAAAAGCAGCCCCTCTCTCACTCTACAGAAACTGGAGACAGGCCCTGGGTGACAAGGCCAGCTAATGGCATGCCTATAGCTCGATGCCACTCAGAGCTCAGCCACTCCCAACCGACTCTGTCGGCAGAGCTCCGCGGGAAGGCACAGCTTGGTGGAAAGCAGCCAGGGCACCCTGCTCCAGGGCCTTGGGCAAGTCGCCCCTCTCATCTCAGCGCTGCCGTCTGTAAGGTGGGCGCAATGTCTTGTCTACAGTGTGTGAAACCTCCTAGCTCAGTAAATGTTTGTAAAAAAAGCTCCTTGTTTTCATTGTTCCTCTTTTAAACATGTTTCTACTCAATGAAGAAAGACCTTCGTCTTCCTTCCTAGCTCTACCCTTACCTCACCCTAACTTAGAAATTCAGTGCAGCGACAGTTGGGTGCCTGCAGAATGAAAGCCTGGGATTTCGCAAAACAGAGGGGGTGATCAACTAGCAATGTCTGCCGTCCCTGCCCCTGCTTCAGAGCGAAGGACCTGTCCTCTGAACTCGCTTATCTGGAAGTCAAGCTTCAGGTGTCTTCCACCCTCCGGAGCCCACCCAAGACCCCCAGGGACTCCTAAAGCACAGCTTGGCTCAAGCTGTCCCCAACTAACTCACAGGCAACAAATGTCCCAGGATGAAGAACTCCTGGTGCCAAGCCCGGGCTGCACGGGCCATGTGACAGTCTCCGGTGCATAATTATCTGTTTGTCCCTCTGTTGCCTAGGGCCTGCTTCCTGACAGTGCCTGGCATTGTGGATATCCGTCAGGCAGATTTAGGGCTCAGGAGTCTGGAGACACTCAACATAGGAGTAAGTATCTACCTCATAGCTGTGAGCGCTCCTCGGTCAGAGCGACGGAGCAATGGCAGACGTTTAAGACACGAGCAGGGAGGTTGACAGAGGAAGGGTGGGCCCCTCCGACTCTGCTGGAAAGAGGTGTGTTCCCAGCTCCTGGGCACACAGTTCCCCCCAAGTGGTACGAGAGTCTACAAACCTTTGCTCTTTTTGGAGGGGTGAGCCTCCATGCTTTAGAAAATCAGTTTTCATTATGCAACCTGTTCCCTGAGCATCTTCCAAAATGACTTTGAGGTGAATTCTCCCTAGTCCCCTAAAAGTTTGCCAAGTACTGGGAGAGGCTGCTGGATCCTGCACAAAACCCAAAAGCTCAGAACGAGTCCTCAGCAGTCTTGGTATGTGCAAATGCAAGCCCACTTTCTAGATGAGGAAACAGAGGCCTGGGGCCCAGAGCAGAGCGATGACAAGAGGCACCAGCCTCTTTCACAGATGGGCCATCATCAGAGCTGCAAGGAACAGGGTTCCCAGAAGGGAAACCGAAGCTGGAGGAGGTCGTCAAGGGCAGACACACTCTTGACACCCCCAACCTGATGGAATACAGTGGATGCCAGAGGCTGAAAGGGAAGCTCTTATTCCAAACCTGGGTGGACTGGATTCATAACTAATTCCGTCAGGCTGGCAGATGTTGGTGCAGCAGCAGCGGCAACTTCCAGGGCTACAGGACGGTGCCTAACAGCAGCTACTGCTCGGTGAGAAGAAAAACTCAGCATTCAGATCCACACCAGGGTCTGGGCTGAGCTCAAGGGAAGGCAGATATCTCTCAAACGCGGTCTCCCTACATAAGCAGACCACCCCCCAGGGCAGCCCCGACAACTTCCATCTCCCTCAGAGTCTCACTGCGGTGCCATCCCACGTCGACAGCGTCTGCGCGGAGTCGGGGATACAGCCCTGCCTCGTTACGGCTCCGCCACGCACGCAGCCTCAGAGAGCAAGGCCACCCCAGCCACTGGAAACTCCACAGAGGGGTGCCCCGAACTCTGCCAAGCTTGTGTCCTGCAATCCCCTCCCCTGGCTGTGTTGCCCTCAGCTCCAGAACTAGCGGTGACTCCCAGCTGCTAAATTTTCCCACCAGGAATCCAAAGCTCATGATACTTGTTTGCCTCTGTCCACAACCTCTGCCACTTTATTTCTCCTCTTTCCCATGAGTCCCGGGCCTCCTTGCTCCCCCAGCACTATCCCGTTCATTCCTGTGCTTTGTGGGTTCATAGTTAGGTGGGTCCCACCCACCCTGAAGACCTTACCCAAGTTTTACCTCCTTCAGGAAGCCTTTCCTTCCCACCTCCCTCTCTCCCCTCTCCTCCTCTGGCCTGCATCATCGCACTATTCTCCAGGTGCTGGGCTCTTGCTCAGAACTGTAAGACTCTGGACAAATCCAAAGTTCTCTTGGGACTGTGGCTGCAATGGCCGGCGCCTGGCCCCCGCTCCAGACCTATGAAATCTGAATCTTCAAGGCTGTTAAACCAGCCCCCAGCTCTGGAATGAATCTTAGCATCAGGTGATGTTGGGAACAGTGGTGCTAATGAACTGGAAACACTCAGTAAAATATGTAACAAAAATCGACCAATAAAAAAGACTATGGGTAGCTGAGAGTGCACAAGAGCATGCGTGGTGTGCACACTGTGTACACATGGATGGTTGCTCCTGCCAGGCTTGGAGCAGCAGGGGGCTGGTCCGGGCTTGGTTTCATTCCCACCAGCCCCGGCAGGTCCGGGATCTGCCCCAGTAATGGCGTGGTAGACTCTACAGACTGACATTGGTTCTCCTACACCCTACTGCCGCTGCTCCTTCTAGTTCCCCTGGGGGTGGGCGCTTTTGCTCCCAGTTGACGGATAAGGAAACTGAGACTCAGAGAGGCAATAGGACCTGGCCAAGGTTACCCAGGGAGTAGCAGAGGCAGAATTTGAACCCAAGACAAGGCCAAGACTCTAACACCCTTGTTCTGCTTGATCAAGTAAAAGGGGGCTTGAGAAAGGCAGGTAAGGGCTGGCAGGCAGACTGCCTGGGGCTCGGACACGCATCAGACGTCCCCTCCCCACCACCCAGCGGAGAGCGTGAAGGGAGCCCGGACCTGGCATCCAGCTGCGCAGGTCTCTGGCAGCGTCCCCAGTGACAGGAATGAGGAGCAGGGGATATTGCTTGGGACTTGGGGATCTCCCTGGCTGTTACCCCCATGGAGGGGGGAGTCACTTTTTCCCTAAAGTAGACACAGCAGGTAGGGCTTTCCCACAAGGAGAAACACCTAAAATGCCAGCTTCCCAAGCTCAGGGAACAACAGGAAAGGCCCCAAGAGGCCCTGGGGAGGCCTCAGCTCTGCCAGTAACTGACCACTGCCTGACCGAGGCAAGGGCTGGCCCTCTCTGGCCTGTGCTGTGGACCGGGCGACCTGCAGGCCCCAACGACCTGGAGGTGTGCACAGACACACATAGCCCTCTCTCTGCACTCATAAATAAACCTCTGCCTCAGTCTCTCAAACTCAGAATGGGGACAGTAACAGTGCTTACGTCTGAAGGTTACAGGGTTCAATGAGCTAGTCTGTTTGGACCTCCCAGACTAACACCCAGACAGGGTGTCAGACACCGAGATGATGGCCAGATTCACACACTCTTCCTGAGACCGGCGACAGCCTGGACTCACAGCCAAGGGCCTATGGGGCAATGCCAGGCCCAGGGATCAAACGCAGGCTAGCCATCTCTGAGATGAGGGCCATCACCCCAACACCTACCCCAGCTTCCTCCCAGCTGACCTTTCCCTTCTATTCCAACTTCCTCTCCTCTTCGTCAGTGGGGTAGGATGGGGAATCCTGGGTACCCCCCCCCCCAGTATTTTGCTGGCTGATGGACAATGTGGGTACCATGGGCTGGTGGCTTCCTGGGTTTTGAGCATGAATGTGGGAACCTCCTGTCACCTCCCCTACCTGGCCTTGGGATGCAGCTGGGAGAATATTTCAGGTAGTTGCCCGTGGAAGGATGGAGGGCAGGAGGAGGGACAGGCAGCTAGACCAGCACCTACAGCCCCCTACAAGGTGTTGGTGATGTTCTGGCCCTTGGGGCTGCAATGCCTGCCAGGCCAGGGAGGTGACGTTTCAGGGACTGGGGCACGGGCTTGAGAGTTGACAAAGGCTTTGCTGGAAAGCTGTGGGGAAAAAGGACAGCACAGTGACCTTGGCAACTCGGGGGGCAACTGCAGCCCAGCTACTTGGAGCAGAGTGGCCAAGGGGCCTCCCTCCCTGCTTCCTTCCCACTGGTCACAGCTGGAGACTCTGGGCAGCTGTGAAAAACACCTTCAGGAGAGGAAAGTGGCCTCGCTGGCATCCCCCAGGATGGCTGCAGCTGCAGAAATCAGATACATGACCCCTCAACGACTCCTGGCAGCCTCAAACCCCTAGTGGTCCCTGGACACCTGAGACCCTTCACTAAGCCATCACTGAATGACACAGCAGCCCAGGCCCCCAAGCCCAAGTCCACAGGTGAGGAGACTGAGGTCCGAAAAGGGAAGGGGGCTTGCGAGGAAGCTCAGGCTGCTAGGGGTCGAATCCTGACTCTGCCGTGTGGCCCTGGG